GTTCAGAGATGAGAGCAGAGCGCCAGGTGAAATAACAGGACGGAGGACTGGACTTTAGTGGTGGGTTCCGGAATTCCGGATCCGGAGGTACGGGATATGACACTGCTGTGCAATCATGCATCAACATACTCGAATATCAAGACGAGTTGACTGCATTGGATGCCAAGCTGCAAGCAGAGTTCAAAGATCGCTTTCCGGCCAATATTCTGCACGATGACACAATGCCATCTGAAGTTTTGTTTCACATCCATCTGAAAGACACTAATAAAATTGTTCAACAGCGCTCTTATGACTGTCTGAAGAAGTATTGCGCTGCCTGGAAAACCCTGTTGGACTCACATCTTGACAATGGGCATTTGTGCCACTCAGAGAGCGAGTGGTCATCCCCGTCATTTGTTATACCAAAGGCAGACCCAACTGTCTTGCCACGATGGGTTAATGACTTCCGGCTGTTGAATGACAATACTGTCACAGACAACCATCCATTGCCACATATTGATGAGATTCTGAAGGACTGTGCTAAAGGGAAGTTTTTTTGGGAAGATTGATATGACTAACGTGTTCTTTCAGATGTGAGTACACTCATATGATATGAAGTTCCTGGCGATTCAGACTCCCTTTGGGAAGTATGCCCATGGGTGTGCAAAATGCTCCAGCGGTACATCAACGACAGATGACGACAGCGCTACAATATTTGATTGGTAAGATTTGCCATGTGTATCTGGACAACATCATCATTTGGTCACAAACGCTCAAGGAACATGAGGCAAATGTGTGACAGGTCCTACTGGCATTATGGGCAGCACATTTGTATTGTTCTCCAAAGAAGACATCGCTCTTTAACACTGAAATTGATTTCTTGGGTCACCACATCTCTGCTTGGGGTATTGAAGTTGATAGCTCAAAGGTTGCTCGCATCCTGGACTGGCCGCAGCTGCGTAATGCGACTGAAGTGTGTGCATTCTTAGGTATTGTCTGGTACCTCTCAGACCACTTACCTAACATCACTGAACATACACATGTTCTTACTGCACTGACAACAAAGTCTGCAGAATTGGAGTTTTTGAGCTGGAACAAGGACCATGCAGACGCCTTTCAAGCCATCAAAGACCTCATTGTCAGCCCACGATGTCTCACAACAATCAATCACAATAATCCAGGGGACAACAAGATCTTCCTTACTTGTGATGCCTCTGACTATGCGATGGGTGCCATGTTATCCTGGGGCCTGACTCACAAGACAGCGTGACCAGTTGCTTTTGATTCAATGCAGCTGTGGAGTGCAGAACTAAACTATCCAGTACATGAAAAGGAGCTCCTGGAAATCATTCGGGCACTGAAGAAGTGACGTTTGGACCTGCTGGGTGCACATGTTGACGTATACACTGACCATCAGACCCTCCTGAACTTCAACATGCAATGAGATCTCTCTCATCGTCAAGCACACTGGGCGGAATATATGTCTCAGTACGACATGACATTGCACTACATTAAGGGGGAAGACAATGTGGCAGCTAATGCTCTTTCACAGTGAAGGGACACTGCATCGACTGCTGATCTGTATGCAGCTCTACTTACCATACAGTCAGATGCAGCCCTCCTGGACCGGATTATCAAAGGGTACACTATTGATCCCTGGTGTAGTAAGCTGAACAGTCTGCTAGGATCATTACATGGCTTGTCTTGTGATGAACGAGGGCTCTTCTATATTGTGGACCAACTGGTGATTTCACAGGTAGATGACCTTCAGGAACATCTCTTCAGCGCAGCTCATGATGTGGCTGGTCACTTTGGTGTGGACAAGTCATATGCTCTACTGCAAGGTTCCTATTACTGGCTGAACATGCGGTGTGACCTCATTGATTCTTATATTCCCTCCTCCACAGAGTGCATGCGTAACAAGTCTCGCACAACAGCAACAGCAGGGCCATTACATCCTCTACCAGTCCCAGATGGTCGTGGTGACTCTGTGGCTATCAATTTCATTGGGCCGTTGCCAGAAGACAGTGGATTTAACATGTTTGTTTTGATAACAGACCAGTTGAATTCTGATATCTGTTTAGTGCCTTGCAAGGACAACATATCGGTGGAACACTTTGCAGGCTTGTTTTTCGACCATTGGTACTGCGAGAATGGCCTACCACAAGAGATCATCTTGGACCGCGATAAGCTTTTCTTGTCGAAGTTCTGGCGTGCACTGCATAAACTGACTGGCATTACACTTAAGATGTAATCCTCTTATCATCCGGAAATGGATGGCGCAAGTGACCACACCAATAAAACAGTCAATCAATGTCTTCACTACTACATTGACAGAAATCACAAGGGTTGGGTTCATGCACTGCCTCACATACATTTCCATATCATGAACACTGTTAATGTGAGTACTGGCTTCTCTCCTTTTCAGTTGCACCTTGGGTGTTCACCTCATATATTGCCACTACTGGTTCCAAAAGCTACCACCTCCGAAGAGTCTGAAGAAGAACACGCATGCATCTTGCTGTCACAGCTCAAGCATGATGTAATGGAAGCACAAGATAACCTACTTGCAGCAAAGGCAGCCCAAGCTGCGAACATCAACAAGAGTTATGCGCCAGCTCTTGCGTTACAGGTCGGTGATTGTGTCATGCTCGCCACCAAACATCATTGATGGGAGTATATGCAGAAGGGGGACACATTACTGCTGTCTGATTGTCTGCTAGTGTTGATCGTCTACTGTGATGACCTTCCAATTGAGCTAATACAGCACAGGCAAATGCAAAGAGACATCTAGTGCATAAACAGAGACATGAAGCAGTATAACAGTTGCAACCGATAGAAGAACAGCATGCATGAAGAATACCAATGGAAACAATCTTGAATGAGTTGGTGGCAATTTGAGCAGAGATGGTTGAAGAACTGGTTATTGGCATTGAAGGAATGGCAAGCAGAGACGAAGGACCTGGTGTGTATTGACAGAGAATCCAGTGAGCAGAGACAGAGAACCTAGCAATCAGGGACAGATGAAGAACAGCCAAAGACCTGGTGAAGAGAGACGACCTGGTGAAGAGACGACCTAGTGAAGAGAGACAAAGAACTTGGTTGGAAGAGATGGTAGGCATGAACAAAAGCTCATCTGCACGACTGAAAAAGACAAATTGTCAGTGAGATGGTGCACATGGAGAAAAATCACCCTTTGCCTGGCTGGTTGTGTGCATGAAGGTTTAGGCCACAGTACCAGAGTAGCCTGGATGCTCTCTGTTAGGAACCATGCTTGGACAGAGAAGTGGAGGGGTTGGGGCTTGGCTTCAGCTCTTGTGCTGCGACCTTAGCCAAGTACATGCCCCGAATTTGGAGCGGTGTGGGGAACGTCCCCACTGTAGGCCCGTATCCTGTATATTTCCCAAGCCTTACCAGTATCTTTCCGTGCATTCTGCCACTGTTCCGCTACCCATCCACTTCTTATCCGACTTGCCTGCTACATGGAACTAAGCAGAACAATGCAGAACCAAGCGGAACAACTGCACATCACGTGCATCATATCCTTTTAGCCTTTGCAACGTCCTCCTCCATCCTGTCCCTGTCCTTCCATCCTCACTGGTGAGTACTCACTATGTTCCTTGTGTTGCCGACATGTTGCTATCTCATTTCACATGTGTTACAATACTTATATGGATCTTTCCGCTGCTCAGAAGCAGTTCCTTATCTCACAGCCTTGCCTGGTTGTAGCATAGTGCTTTTTGGAACCCCTTCCTATATAGATAGCAATAGATGGGATCTTAGTTTTTTACCTTTTGATAGACTTGACTCGACTCCCACTTACAGAGTACTTCCCAGTACTCCACTCACTGTTTAAAATATCTTCCCGAATCTATTCTTGACCTCATTACAATGCCCGTGCATCCGTGAGTTCCACATGAAATGCCCAACTCCCTGAATATGACAACTTGGAACAAGTACCAGACACAAGCCTGGTCTGACTTCACCCAATCTTCCTTGTATAGGCTCATAGTTTCTTTTTCCCTCCATTGTATCCATGATCTCTGTCCGCGTGTCAGTTTTGTTTGTTGTGTGTTTGTTCCACTTGTTGCATGTTAGTTCCATTTGTTGTGCATTTGTTCCGCTTGTTGCACATTTGTTCCGCTCGTCGTGTGCTTCGTTCCACTCGTTGCGCACCTTCTGCATCAGTGTGTTTCCAGTCCTAGTAAGGACCAGAACCCTTTGGGTCACTAGACAGAGTCTAGTTTTGCTTTCCTCGCACTTACTTGAGGACTCGCTACCTGAGAGAGCAGAGTCCTATGGAGTATTCCCACTAGTAGAGACGGCGGGAAGACAAGTAATATTAAGACTGAGGAAAGTAGCTAAGTACATGGTATGTTTTATATACTTCTAAGTAGGAGGCAGTGACCAGTAGTCTGTGGTATGAGGCTATGTACCGAGTATACAATTTGTAAGTGTTAACACAGGTAAAAACATAAGTCGGAGCAGATATCAATATGTACACGTCGGATCAGTAATTGAGCAGTTATAGGAAGTACCAGTGATCTGGGAAGTAAGTTTCATGTGTCAAAGGAGAAAGTATATATCTAAATGGGGAAAGAGGTTCCAGTGGAGTGGAGATGATATGGAAGGTAACCAATGTGGCAGTTGAGTGGGAGTGCAGGAGCGGATGCAGGAGCTGACTGGGTCAAGCGGAGGGCGGATGGAGTGGAGGTGATGGGAAAGTGGGAGGGGTGTAGGATTGAGTGGAGCAGATATCAATATTGATGGAGCAGTTGGATCTGGTATATGACACTCTTGGGCTATGTGAAGCAGTAATTCAAGGTGAAAGTTGGCAGGAAGAAGGGTAAGAGTGCACCAGTTCAGAGAGCTCCAATTCACTGTCATCTTGATATGCTGCATTGTTATATGATCTAGGAAATTTAGAGGGACCTGCTGTTGGTTGCGATTTGGAAGTGATGGGCTAGTGTGTAATGATGTGAACATGAGCTAAAATGAACAAGGGGCTGTCAGTATAAGTGCTAGAAAGGATGTACCACTTTGTGCGCACACTGCTAGACAACAATCTGAGCACATGACTGAACATATAACATGATACTACACACCTTAGAGGAAATCTTTGCAGCTAATTTGTTGTGCATCCTCTGTTCCTCCTTCACCTTCTCAATTTCATCATTCATCTCCTTGCAGAAGTGCTTGACCTTCTCAACACATTTCTCAGCAGCCACAATGCAGTATTGGCATGTGATTTTCTCAATATGTGAGTATTCTTCAGCCATTGGGTGCAGAGCAACACCTGAATCAGCACTGGCAATCATCTCTTCATATGCCTCTTCTAGACTGTATCTGAGGTCTTTCGAAATTAAGTGGATAGTGACCCAATGTATGAGGTAGTATTCAATGTAGGCCTTGAAGTCAAGGGGAGTGAAGGCCTCATTGGAAGTCCGTTCATGGTCAAACATGGAAAATATTGTGGACTGGATTGTCACTTTTCCTTTCTCCCCATAGCTAACAAGACGTCAGTATCAATGTGGATCAAGTCATGTAAATGAGCAAATCACTATCCAGGACGAGTGTGATTTGTAACCATCATTGGTATGTGATGTCAGCTAGTGATAGCCAGCTTGGAAAACTCTCAATTGGTGGAGTTTCTTTTCAGACCTGTGGAAGAAAGATATTCAAGAAACATGTCATTAAAAACACTGTAGCACCTCGTGTTTTGATCATGAATCATGAGATCCAACTCAGCCTCCATTTGGAGGACTCAATCTGAGATGTTCTCCCATATAATGATTGTTGGCCATCCTTGGGCTTTGGCACATTGCATATTGAGCCTTTCTTCACATGATTGTTGAAGTGCCATGCATATCTCAAGCTCTAGATGTAGATCCTCTGAGGTCAAGCAGCAGTTAGTGGTCTTGAAAGAATTTCACTGTTGGAGCTGTTTGACCAGCTCAATAGTGGGATCCGCTGGCACAAGATCCTTGCAGCTGTCATTTGGACAGACCAAGGGAAGGTCAGCAAACTTGTAAGCATCATCATCATTGTTGACGGTGGTGTCAGTCTAATATGATTCAATGAGTTAAATGTCAGTGTTGATGATAAATCACTAAACCTTGAGATGTGCAGCAGAGGCTTCTGCTGGTTTGAATTTAGTCTTGGCACGAGTGTCATGAGGAATAGACACAGGTGTTGCTTTTGGCTTGGCCCCGGTGGTTGGTGGAGTTTCCATTACAACCTTTGTGGTGTGTGTGCCTAATGATGATATTGGCCTTGGTTTTGGTTTTGGCTTTGGCTTTGCAGCTGGTAGGGAGTTTGAAGTTGGTATCAGTAGGTCCAAATGGCAAGCAGGAACCTGGGTCATCTTTGACTTTGGAGCTGGCTTTGTGCAAGGAGTGAGCTGTGCACAAGGAGCAGACGGTGCATGAGGAGTAGGCTTCATGAGAGGAGCCAGAGCTGGCTTTGCATGAGCAGGAATGGACACCTGCCAGTAGCTTTGAGTATCAGTAGTGTAATTGAAACATCTTGAATGCTCACATGTGCAAACTTGAGCTTTTTTTGAGGTTGCAAGCTCCTCTCCTCATTTGTCTCTGAGTCATCTGAATCATGTACATGTTGGTGTCATTTTCATTGTGATGTTGAAGTCAAAGTAGCCTCATCATCATTAAGCATGTCATCAAGTTCCCCATCACTGAGATCTGAGTCATCCATCTGTGTGCATATATGCAATCAACTTCCAGCTTTCAATTCATTAATTAGCATACCTCTGAGTCATCTAAATTTGCATGCTGCTTCTTGGTGTACTGGACATGATTGCAAAGATAAGAGGCAATAAAGTCATGAAATGGCCAATTATCGCGGAACTTTGCTAGAAACTGGTGTTTGCGCTGTGCCTGAGCATGATTAGAGTAGCATATATGCACAGAAAAAACATGAGATACTTACATATGATAAAAGGAGTGTCACCATGAGTTTGGGCTGTTCTTTGAGAGTCTTCTCAGTATTGAGGTATCGATTCATATATCGCTGTGCGATCATCTTATTAAAGTGTGAATTATTTTAAAGTGCTGGTCAACACTACCCACTCTAAATGTGTTGTATTTCCGGTTATCGCCAGCCAATCCCATGGCCTGTTGGAGACTGTATTCTCCTTTCAGTTCTGATCGCCCTGCTTGACCCTTGGGTTTGTCAATCAGCTTCTTCATATACCCTGTGGGGCCGAGCCTTCTGTGATGATCATTTCCTACCCACACATATGTTACTCCCATTCCTTCCAAAACTTTGAAATCTGACTCACACTGTATATGATGAATCTCAGTCTCAAGGTGACTGAGATTCTTTGCAACCCTGTCCACCTTTCCAACTGCTTTTTCTTTGTTTTAGGGCATCATTGATAGTGGTGGAGAGGCTTGCAAGTGCTGATTAGTTGTCTGATATTATTTGTTGATGTCCTTTGTTGACGTGTTATTTGGTATACACGTGACATCTCTGTGAATTTGTGTCTGCGTCTAAGTCTTTCCTGGTGCTGGCTATACATCACAACTTTGTGTCCTCATGTGGAGCTCTGCTCACCTTGCAACAACCATGCAACCACTGCTAAACTGGTATGTCGCCTCCTTGACCTTGACCCAGATCTCAAAATTGTTGCACAGGTATGCTCACATGACTGTATTGCGCAGCTTTCAGAGGTTTAACATGGGGCTTGTGTCTGCATTTTCATCGGTCATACGTTCCAGCCCCACATAACCCTCACACTAGTTCGAATCCATAAGTGTAATCATCATTTGTGTTTTCTTCACCTCTGTTCAGTCAGAGCCCCTTCAGTAACTTTGGCCCATGTTACATGGCCACCTGAAGTTGAGATTCTTCCAAGTGACATGGCCATATGAGGTGGGCCCAGGTGCAAGATGGGGCCGATAGGGACAGGTGGGCCCGTGATGTTTAGTGGTCTTGATATTTATGGCTTGGCCCATGGGTAACAACTGAGAGGGCCCATACAGTGGGATAGATATTGACGACCGGCCCAGGGTGGTGATGTAGAATCGACAGTCAGGCCCATATAGTAGTATAGAATATGATGGCCGGGCCCATATGTCGGTGGAGCATTTCATGATCAGGCCCAGGGTAACCAGGTTATGTAGGATGGATAGTCGGGTCCATACAATGGTGTAAAATATGATGACCGGGCCCAGGGGGTGATGTAGAATTAACGGTCAGGCCCATATGTCGGTGCAGAATTTGATGACCGGGCCTCATGTGGTGATATAGAATATGACAGCCAAGCCCAGGGTGGTGATGTAGAATTGATGGTCAGGTCCATATGTCGGTGGAGCATTTGACGATCGGGCCCAGGGTGGTTATGTAGGATGGACAGCCGGGCCCATACAATGGTATAAAATATGACAACCGGGCCCCAGGTGGTTGTGTAGGATGGACAGCCGGGCCCATACAATGGTATAAAATATACTGACCAGGCCCAGGGGGTGATGTAGGATGGACAGGAATTGACAGTCAGGCCTATATGTTGGTGGAGCATTTGATGACCGGGCCCAGGCAGGCCCATACAATAGTATAGAATACGATGGCTGGGCCCAGGGTGGTGATGTAGAATGACAGAATTGATGGTCGGACCCATACAATGGTATAAAATATGATCACCGGGCCCAGGGTTGGTGATGTAAAATTGATGGTCAGGCCCATATGTCGGTGCAGAATTTGACAACTGGGCCTCATGTGGTGATAGAGAATTGATGGTCGGGCCCATATGTTGTTATAAAATTTGAGGACTGGGCCCAGGGTGGTGATGTGGATCTGAAGAGAGTATTTGATGACTGAGCCTAGGGCAGTAATGTAGAAAGGACAGTCAGGCCCATATAATAGTATAGAATTCAACACCTGGGCCTAGGGTAGTGGCATTGAATTGACAGTCAGGGCAATATGGTCGGGTGCATCTTGATGATTAGGCCTGGGTTGGGCATGTGGAATTGATGGCCGGGCCATATTGTGGTATAGAATGTGATGACTGGGCCCAGGGTGGTGATATAGAATTAAAGGCCAGGCCCACATGATGGTATGGAATTTGACGACCGGGCCCACACAGCGGTATAAATTAGTCTGACTGGGACAAGGGTGGTGTGGAATACTTACAGTCGGTCCTCCATTGTCTGGGTTGAAATGTAGTAAGGCCCTGACAAGTGTCTTCACAAGAATGATTGTGTTAAAGGTGCAGTAATGCATTCAATTGACATATTTCTGGTAGGTGTTGGTGTTGGTATGTAAGGAGTGATGTGAAAGGACCGGATATCCTAATATTGTGAAGAATGGGGGTGGGGTAGTATGAAGCCAGGAAGGGGGTCTACAGGTTGCCATACATAGGAAAATTGGCCTGGTTGTACTTGGGCACCTGGTATGTAAGGAGTGATGTGAAAAGACAAGAAATCTTAATATTGTAAAGAATGGGGGTGGGGTGGGGTGAGGCCGGGAAAGGGATCTACCGGTTGCCATACACAACAAAATCAGCCTGGTTGTACTTGGCCAAGTGGTATGCATGGAGGTCGACCGGATTGTATGTGGCATAATCTGGGTGGGGGGTTCTGGCATAGTTGTGCACACTATCCTGGAGGAACCAAGCCCATACTACCATCCGATCTCCCTTGTCAATGCGGATGCCATGTCTGACTAGGTGGCCGGAATAGCTCACCATGACGCCTGGGTTGTATACCAGCTCAATTCTGAGGTTGGTCAACTGCATGACGGCATGTGGGTAGCTCCCAATGCAAGTTAATATGTCGAATGCCTCTGGCAGACACTTCAGGTCTCTGTGGTCAGGGGACTGACAGTCGCACATGATGGTGGCACTGGTGTAGACAGAAGCCCAATGCTTAAGCAAATGATGCATGTCATGCAAGCCTTGCTCCTCCAACCAACGACCAAGTTCGACATGAGACCTCATGGAAGCCCAATAAAGCTTAGGGTGCATGACACGCAAGGTGGCAGATGCAAGGAGGGCAGGTCTCTGCATATCCATGATCATGGACAGGCTTCTGTCGCCCTTCAAAGAGGCAGAGACCTCTAGTTTGAACCCGTCATCTGGATCATCGGGAGGAGGGCCATAGCACTGCCCCGTGTGAATAACTATCGATGATCGGACAGCCAGACTCACCTCATATCCTTGTTGGAACCAGCAAGGCGTTATGTTGATGCATCTGGGGGTCAAAGCGGGATCCTCGGGAAGTCAGAAGTTGGACCCCTGGGTCCTCCAATTAGCTGATTCCTTGTTGATGACGCTCTTCTTGAGTAGATCACCCATGGCGAGGGTGGCCATGTACATGTCATTCTATTGGGATCTCGGTCAACTACTTCAGAAGGATACTTTTGCATGAGGAACTCGCCTGCACCCAGGGACTCAGGGCATTGGGGATATACCAGAGAATGATCCTGTGGCCAGAATCGATTACTACCGCAGGGCAGTCCAAGAGAATCTTCTTGGGCAGAGGGAACCTTGCCAACAACTCCTCTTCTCGGGCATCTTTCATACCGGATTCTCATTTTGCAAGAGCCTCGTTGTACCAGATGACATTGATGTCCAATTTGACTGAGTTTGGGGGATCCATAAGTGAGGGGATGCCAGAGAAGACATAGATGGACTTACTCAGGTGTCGATATGCCTCAGCCATGAGCCAGGCAAGCTGACCGCATGATAGCAACGTGGGGACATCCATCCCAGGTGGAGGGTCCACCAAGGATCCACCGGCTATGTGAGCAAGGAATTGTGGCTTGACCCATTCACTGGCAGAGTTCGTGGCATGCAAAGCCCAGTCTTCAGGTATCACAGGCATCAGGTTCATACCATTCCTGAGAAAGGCGATGTGACTGGCATAAGATGATATGATGTGGGACATGACGGGCAAGGTGAACAAGATGGCAGGTGATGGATGTCGCTCGATTTTATTGACATGTCAACTGAGCCTCATGGCTCCGGTGATGCCAAAGGATGTAAAATCAGGGGATGTAATAGTGCGCATGTTCAGGGGCTGAGCGCACAGTGGTGAGGCCAAGAGGGATCTTATGGATCTGTAATGAAAGAAGCATGGCACAGGGTCGTACTAAGCACTGCACCCGAGGCAGTTCTCCGCATCTTACGACATTGCAATGAATGGATGGTGACAAGAACTGGGCATTCACACACGCAACTACCAAAATTATGTACAACATTCTTCTACCAAAATCGTAGGCTCACTGATATTTTCCCAGCTCCTGCATCGACCCAGTCCCATCTAACAACTGCTGTGATGCTGCAATGGCATCATGGAGGTCATCTACCAGACCCTCGAGGGTGGTCATTGCCTTCAAGGCAACATTTGCATCTTGCATCTTACTGGAGAGGCATTGCTCAAGCTGAGCACCGAGATCTCCAAGATTGTCTTTGATGACCCAGAGATTGGTCAACAGGGGGTCTGGACCGACATCATGCCTGTGCATCTCTGGCAGCAGCAAATATGCGGCTGGCTGATGGAATTGTTAGCATGGGATAATATGCAAATATCAGGAGTTGGATAAAGGGAAGGGACTCACAAGCTGTTGCATGTGGTGTTTGTACAATTGGATGACTTCTTCCACTGGGACATGGTTGGGCATCTCGAACAGATGGACGTCGAACTGGTCATTCCACCAACTGTAGGCATAGTTGGAGACGATCTGGTAGCAGACCATTAGGTCACCTGCCATGTTGAATTGGTGGGTGTGGAATAACCGGAAGAGGCCATTGTCATCCACGATTCCCACCTGCCAATGGGTGAGCATCGTCACAACCCCGTTGAGATATTCCGGCAAGGCCAGGGAAGTGTTGCTGGTGGCACATATGTTGATGTAGGGGAATACAAATGTCTGTGAAGTATGGGGGTCAGCCTAAAGAATACCAAATGGAGAAGCACCATAAGGAAGCAGAGACTCACCTCGGCTTCCCAGACCAGATGCCGGATGAAGGTTCTTCGGAAGGAAGATGTTTGAGACACTTGGCTCTTGTCCAGGGCCAACCAGATTGCAGTAAACCACGAAGTCGCATATTTGAATATGTTTGCGGCATCCCAAAGGGAGACACTGGTCGGGACTGAATTTGGCTGGAAGATCAGTGATGGATATTGCATGTTGATCAGGGCAGCAGAGGTGCAAGGGGGAATAAAAATACAGCCATTTAACTACCAGTATAAATAGGCAGCGACGACTGTTGTTAGGGCCGTATGCGGTGACAGGTCCACATGATACACAACCAGGCTGGAATGAAAGATTATGAAACTGCATTGTTTGCAAGGACCATAGACTACATACAAAAGAAGATCATAGGATAAATGTATTGCCAGGAACACCCAATGATGACATCACCAGTCATGACCGAATGTCGGGTTGACCTCCACAAACCGGGCATGAGCATCCTCGGCCAATTGTTTGTACATCTGAGCCTGTCTGAGTGCATAGCACCTGTTGCCCACCTGAGTGGGGTCGCCATTCTGGTGTGTTTGTCCAAGCCATGTTGCGGATCTGTGCATAAGGAAATTGATTGTCCAACGCATCTCGTGTCCCATGAGGATGAACTCTTCTGCCCAACGATCATGCAGAGCCTTGGTCTGAAGCCAATGCACCCTGTAAACTGGATTCTGGGTTGACATGGGCCTGATGATGAAGTCCCAAGAATAATGACTCACATTCATTCATCCAGTCATCGCTAACCGAATCCCCTTGTACATCTAGGGACCAAAACCATGGCAGCGTGGAATTTCTCTGACCTTGGGCATTGGGATCCACAACGGCAGAGGTGGCTTTGAGGTGGCTTTTCTCCAACTCCTGGTATTTTTGCAACAGCTGGTCTGCCCCAAGATTCTGGAGCTGGGCCCTGCATTTCTTGTAGATCGTGCTGTTGAGGTTGATTACCCATTCCACCAAGTGGACCTGGGCCCAAGCCCAGGTGGTCCTGGCTTGCGACTTGGCCAGCCTGACTGTGGTCCTAAAGAGAACTGCCTTGTTGGCCAGGTGCACTCTGATGGAGTGCAGCATGCCATTTGCCTGTCCCTCCCTTAGGGTGATCTCTTGTCTGATCAGGCCCACCATGCCCAATTCCCTGCATCTCTCCATTCCCAAGTTGGACGGGAGAGAGATGATGACTATGTCAGGTCTGAATAGAGCCATTGGGTGATGGACTCCCAGTGCTCCATCATCATTGGGGTCTTCATTGCTGGATCCACTGCCATTTCACAGGAACTCGACATCCATGTTGGGGATACAATGGTCTGAATCATAGCCATCTCTGAGATACCTCCCTGCTGTTGCAACAAACTTGTCAATGGAGTGTTGCAGCCTGATCTGGCGATGGCCTATCTCCAGCATCTGATTCTTGGTAGGGTGTCTTCCCATCCTCCTGATGTCCATCACCAGAGCGATCTGCATTTCCTCAATGGTGATCCCAGATGCAAGCCAAGTGGCGGCTCTTAGCTGTGGTCCTTCTCCTGGGCGTCGGATGGATGTCTGCAGTAAGTCGACCTTGACCTCCTTCTGGGTTCATGCTGCTGAGGTCAAGCGTCAGTGCCGCGACCAAGATATCTATGCACACATGAGACTTGCCCTTTTGCAACTGCACATCGTAGATGTCTAGGGCTGATGGATCGTCTATCTGAGAGGCCTGTGCCACTCTCTCTTGTGCTTCCCACCACTCGACAATTTCCAGATCTGCCGCATCGTTCAATGCATTGAATGCCTCGGTGCTTTTGGCGACCCCTCATTTGGCCTCTTTGTATTTCTGGGACAAGAACAGCCCTGTTGCGATGAGATTTGTTTCAGGCATTAGGTATGTCATGACTAACCCATCCAAATCATCTTCATGTAGTTGCAGTCGTTCATTTGATAATCGAGGCATTCCTGTCAGTGCAGGGTCAACATTCCCCAGGCGGAAGGAGATATAATGTTCAGAGGCACCCACAGTGTTTCCATAATCTCCCCATCCATTCTGGCGGCCCCTGGGATGAAATTGGATGCATACCGAACATAGCACTTGTCTTGGTGGCCATGAACATGCCACAGTCCTATCCCTGGGATAATGTCCATTACCGAAGGAAGGCTGAGATGAAGGCTCTCGTCCACCCACTACCGGAGGTGCTTGTTGTACTGGCAATTGACGTCATAGAACGTCAATGCCTGGCAAAGTCCATCTGTATTGTGACTCAGGGCGTTGCACAGGGCATAGTCCATGTTCATCTGTCTGCTCCTGAATGTCAACCTCTGATGCCAACTTCCGTGTTGGGAACCTCCTACCTTTTGCCCTTGTGAAAATCGACCATCAAATTAGGCACGAAGCACCCGTGTCTGGCGCATGTGCACCCTCCTATTCCTGTGGCTTCTAGCTTGTGCTGAGATGCATTGGCCTGGTTCACCACCCTATGGTTGTTGCATTCGGACCTCTGCACCAAATCCTTGGCAAGCCCGAGATGAGCCTGGTACCTGGCTCTGGCTACCATGAAGCTTTGCCCATCAGTGAGCCAAACTTTGTCTTCTGGGTGTGTTGGGTGCAGATGCTTGGCTTTAAAGTTACCATCCATAACCAATGAACATGAATACAGCCACCCAGGCATTGTGTCATCATCTTCTGTTGGTAAGGTCATGTTGATGCTGGGCTGAGGACATGCAGGGCAGAAAAGAGCCAGCTCCCCATCTTTTGGGTCCTTCCTGTCGTGACTGAATCCATTCTATTTCAGAAGCTTCAGCTGCCACCATTGTCTGGTCACTCTCATCAACTCCCAGTATTGGTCCTACCGAGCTTTAGCATTGGGTCCGGTGGAACAGATGCATACATACCGGTACTAAATGCGGGAACATGCTGGACATGATGCACCTCAATTTACTGTAATAGTTCATTGCTGAAGTCCTGCACTCCAGGTTGTCCAGGATCAAATCATCCAGCAAAGCAAAGGTGAACACAGTCTTTGGGCGGGTGAACGATGCTGGGAACAGTCCCATTTCAAACAGCTGCTTGTCTGGGGTTCAGGAATCAGTGCATTGGCAGAACCAAATCCACATGGTGTGAACACCTGATGTATCAACCACCATGATCCGTGTTTTTCCTACCACCGGTGAGTCATTTGCATAGGCGGGATACTCCTCCTCTAAGAATACATCACCCACTCCTGTGTTGTCAATGTCCTGGGAAAATACATAGTAGGCTGATGCAGATAGGCCTTCACCGAAATCATCACTGGCATCACATGCACCCAGAGTTCCTGCTGCGGAGGATGCAGCAGATTGTTCCCCATCATCCATGTCCTCCCAGTCCCAGTAGTGGTGCAGGCAAGATCATCCTCCATGCCTGAGATGAATCTCCACGCCTAACTTTGTCAGTGTGGTCCTCTCAAAGAAATCTCCATTCCATTGACTGATCCAGTGAAAAGGCAGTTGAGCGTGTTGCATCCAGCAGCACTTGGTGCAGAACATCAGCTCGGCAAGACAGTCGTGGCACTTCTGCACTCCATCAACATCGCACAAACAGCATACCCTGTCAGGAGGCGGGCCCTCCCGTTCAATCAGCATATCTAGATAATCCTCTGCCATCACCTTCCACCGCCGGAGATACTCGTTCAGACCCTAAGTATGTCGTGTCAGGTGAGCCAGACATTGGTGAGGGTGAATGGACTCTGACTTGCCATGGTCTTTTTCTTTCTCTTGTTCTTTCATGGGCCCTGTGGAAGTTGCATGGGATTGATGTATCCCTGGTCGTCATAGCCTCTGTCAAAGTTGTCGGAGAACCTATACATCAACCCATCCGAAGGCTGCTTTGTGGGAGTTGATCCATTATTGCATCATGCTCCCTTAACAGGACCCTCACTAAATCACCTCATTTGTTATTATGTTGATGCATCTTTGAACAGCAATGATTCATCAGCAATTTAATTCCTTGAGCCATACCCGTTTGAATAATGATTTACACCTCAGGCATTAGGATGGTCAAGGAAGTAGACATGCTTTTATACTGTGATTGCAAAGTTGATAGACAGTGTCAATGAATTAATATGCTTTATCATTGGGAAGATCAAGAAAGTCCACATGCTTCTATGTTCTCATTGTATTTCAAAGTTCTTGGCCCAGCCCAAATCATAGGATGGTTGGCCCTGCTGAGATGCCCCGGATATGCTTTCAATCTTTCAAATCAATCTGAACTGACGCTAGCACAAATGCACAACAATTTATAATGGGATTGGCCTGGACAATCACAATCTTGGTCTTGTTTGTCAAGGCCCAGTCGCCCATAATTTACAGTGGCATGGATACTGATTGTCCAAAGGCTAAACAAACAAGCTGGCTCAAATTAAACCTCTTGCCAGACACTTATATTCCCCTTCTGTCATCCTCATATTCCTACATCTTTGCCCATGGCAGGGAACAACTTGGAGGCAGATGAAGAGGCTCTGAAGCAGCTGCCTTTGAATGAAGGGGAGGTGGCTGTTCTGGAGTCCTACCTGAGCAATGAAACTTGACATTGGGTCAAGAAAGAAATGTGGTCTGGGGGGATGCCATGACGGAGGCTCGGCTGAAGGCCCCTGGCATGGATGCCAAGCTGTTGAAGTCCCGAAAGACAGTGAGTGGGTCTTGTCATATATCCCAGGCATTTGCTGATGCGGTCGCTACGCAGGTCTACAGAAAATGGCTGCAGAACCACGGAGGGAAGAAGAAGGACGCCAAACCTCCCATCAATCTCAGCAGGAAGTGGACATACCAGGTGGTCGTGGGGTCTCTCAGGAAGAAGGAGCTGCTAAAGAAGATCAAGGATGAGACCAGTGTGAAGCCTGGCAAACCCAAGAGGATGAATCATTATACCAAGTATCTGGCATAAATAGTGAATTCTCTTACCAAGAAGGAGGTGGAGGAAGCAACTGAGATGGCTGAGGAGTGGAACAAGCAAGGAGCTCCACCCAAGGTTCAGGCTGACACGGCGAAATGAAAGAGCAACGACATTCTCCAGTATGTGGCCAGCAAAATGTTCAAGAAGGCTGGGATGCGGCTGTTCATGCTGTCGGCTTGAAAGAATGAGGACGTAAAACTCCTGGTGTCAAGGTGTGTGAATACACCTGTATGACCAAATAACCGGATGTCTCAACAACCGACAGCCATGACTACAACCATGAGTTTGGCAATGGGGAAAGTTTCAGCAAGATGGGTGACTGGCAGGTGATATTGCTGGAGTGGGAGTCTTATGTGTCAAAACAGTTTGGTGAGCATCCGAAGCATCGTTTGGGAGTAAACACGACTGATTGGTACGGGATCTGCAAGACAAGGAAGTGGAGGATGACACCGTGGTAAGGAAGGGAAGGAAGGACAACACATATGTCCTCAAAATAGGATGCGATGGATTGCCCATCCTCCCGGACCATGGCGAGATGGATTCCGACATGCAGAAGGCTGTTGTCTGAGCATTCCTAAATTGGCATTATCGTGAGGCAATCCATTTGACTCTTTGGATGATCTGACATGGGCAGGCAGAGGACTGCAGCGGCCGGCCAAAGGACCCAGTGCCTTGGAAGGAGGTGATACCTAGGCAAGAAGAGCTCATCCCTCCAATGTACCTTCCAGAGGGACAAAAACTTCGGGAGCCATCAAGAATGAACTGGGAGGAGGTGACAGAACTGTTGAATTTCTGGTACAACCAACAGGAGAACATCCAGGACATCACATCTGAGTTCTACAGCTGGTGGAGCAAGGCCGACAAGGAGGTAAAACCTCCTGTCGCCAAGGCAGAGGCAGATGCACCTGTGGATGGACAGGCTGAAGAGAATCTGGGAGGAAAGGCAAAGATCAGGGTATCGGTGAGGCGAAAGTATGCTATCTGGGCGGTCATTCCTTCCAACAGCTCTGATGACAATGAGGATAGACGGTCGACAAAGACAGCCAAGCAGCAGGCAGCAAAGACAACCCACCAGTCAAAAACTCAGGTCGACCCTGCAGACTCGGGGGACGAGTTTCATCAACCAGATTTGCTGGATGAGTCCTTGGATGAAGAAAGGCCAGCTACCAGGAAGGGCAAAGAACCTGTGAAACAGAAGGCAAAGAGACCTAGGAAGGAGGTTGCGGAGACATGCGGTGAGGATGAAGCTCCAGAGGTAGAGAGTCACCCAGTTATGAAGACCCATGCTCACAAGCAGGGCACTGCTCCCGCCAACAGGCTTGTTGCTCCCACAGCTCCAGAGAAACCATCTCACGCAACAATAGATGAGCCATCTGCCTCCTGAGGAGTGCCGACTCCTTTGGACTGACCCAGGAGGGTAGGGCCTGCATCTCAGCCTGGCGGTGCATTGTGGCGCAAACCTAGTCGTGGACAGAAAGACGGTCCGGCAGTCATCTTGCAATGCTCTACCGAGAAATACAAGCTGGGCAAACCATGCAGGAAGAAATGTGCTGCTGAAGATGAGTTGGAAGGATCACCTGCCAAACACACATGCAGCAAGACCACAGATGTTCTCCCAAAAAGATCCAAGAAACCCAACTCCAGATATGCTGCCAACTCCGTGCAGTCTTGATACTTCTGAAGTCGGATGATGCCCTTGAGGCTGTTGGACTCACTTGCATATTGTTTGTACTGTATATTGTAGGTATAGTAGCAATTACAATGTCGCCCCTCTTAATATTTTGTTCTCCTGGACATGAATGCATCACCACTGGGTATTATTGCAATGGTTGGTTTTCCTTCCGGACCCTAACAAAATGGATATCTATGATACTGAACCGAAACCTATCTACTGCTCCAACTTCTCCAGAGATTTGATGACTTCAAGGTCCGCCAATTTCAACAGTTGGCATTGAAGTTGGATCATGCAGTGGAGCCTGCACATGTCCATACCAACTGCAGTCACCCAATCTCAGGCCTCTGTGAACCCTCCAAGGATGTGCCAATTGTCCATGAGGATTTGTGCCAGTCCCCAAGAGAGATTGCAGTCGTGGACTGCATTCTTGATGATGGCATACACATGTTGATCAGCTGTGAGATCGTCAGTGGTGACCAGTCAGGATGTGAAAGGGCGCACTCATGTTGCTGCTGATGGTGTTCAGCTGGCGTTTCTCCCAGAGAATCACATCCTCAGCTTCACTGTAACTGCGACCCTCCCTGTCGTCGGCGTCCAAGTCCATTGGGCCCAATGAGGCTGGTATGGGGCTGAGTGGACTCAGAGCTGTTGACCGTACTGCTAACACCAGTGAGCATCAGGATCCACAAGAAGGACATAGACTTACCTTGGTGTTCTCCCCACCAGAGATTGTATGACGGTCCATCTTCATCTGTGAGATCAACAACCTCTTGTTGCATCGGGTGTTCACTCACAGGTGTTGATCCCCACCTGAGATTGTACAAGGGTTCATCATCATCGTCGTCTTCTTTCATCCAGTGTTCACCCACAGGTGCTTGTCCCCACCCGAGATCATATGTGTGTCCATCGCTGGCACCAATGATGACATCTTGCTGAATGGGCTGTTCACCCGAATGCGTGGATCCCCACCCAAGATCGCATGCTGGTACATCGTCTTCATCCATCATGACTTCAGGTGGTTGAGCTGAAGTCACATTAGGGCCCCATCTGAGATCATACCCTGGGCCTTCGTCGTCGTCATCATCTTCATCATTGTACATTGTCAATTATGTGTCCAGTAAGAACTGACCGAAAAAACTTACCTCTGGTGTTATCATCTACTGAAGGAGATGGGTTGCTGGACAATGCAGCAGATGGGATGTTCCACCCGAGATCATATGATGGATTGTCGTCTACCAGCCCATTGACCTCTTTGTCCCCATCTGCAGACTGTTCGGGTGTTGATGGTTTGGACATGCCCCAGGACTTGTCGAACATGTCTGTTGATTTGTGTGATGTCAGGTGAGTTCAGTGGAAGCATTGATAACGACTTACCAGCCAGTTCCTGAATTGATTCCTCCACCCCGGCAAAGGAGCACTCGTATTCATCGGGAGTTGAATCTCTGATGTGGCTGTCAAGAGTCTCAATCTGAGTCTCCGGACTCATGTCATATCCTAGATCCGGTCAGCTCATTGCCCCCAAAGAACATCAGAAGATAAATGAATTGACGTACTTCTAAATTGCAGGTGCTGGAATCGCGACTGCACCCTCAGTGGCTCCCACTGGTCTATGGGCACAAAATCACCCCACCATTCTGCAAGGGATGCCTTGCATTGAACTTTGGCAGATGACTTACCAGCCGAGGCCACATGTTGCTGAGTAGTTTCTAGAGGAGATGAAAAATGCACTCGTCAAGTTGACATTGTGCAGTCTGGCAGATGTGTGCTCAGGTTCAGGAAGGACGAATTAAATAGGGATGGCAGAAAGGTCCAGTGGTGGGTCTTGTGGGTGCGGTGGTCTGGTCATTGACAAGTTGGCCAAGTCAACAATGGCACTTGATAAGTGCCGCGGCAACAGTAGCATTATCCAATATATTGCGGTGGTAGAACAATGGGGATGTGGTTCCGGCAATTCCCATGGGCATGCTGTGGCTGCAAAGGTTGTTCCTATATATGCCTCATCTGAACTTGTGCTCCAATATTTTCCTCTGAATTTTTCATCTACAATCTGAACCCGCACTTCCCTCCTGCCATCTATTTTTCACAATGTCCTCCACTCAAGATGCCAACAATGCTCTCAACCGTGATGCGGCTGACAAGTCATTGGCACATGAGATTGCCATCACTTTGGTAAGTCTTCTCTTTTTTTTCATTTTTGACTTTTGATGACCCGGTCAATCTTCTTTTCAGGTTGGTGCATTCACCCGATATGGGAATGCTGCGACTTCCTTCACTCCAAGGCTTCTGTCTTGCGCAGCCGAGATCTGGGACAAGAGTGGTCCAAATGGTAAGCTGAGGGGTCTGCCCGACTGGATGCAGATCTTGGATGACGACCCTTGCATCCAGGTTCACCCCCTTTTCCACAAGACCATTGGCTACACCCGCCTGGTTGGTCCATCAACACAGGAGGCTTGCCTGGCTTCACCAGTACCACCAGCCGCCACATTGATCCAAGAGGCATTGGTGACCCTCTCCCCCATCCCATCTCCCACACCATCACCATCACCATCACCTGCCCCCGCCCCCAAACACAATCTCTTTGTCCCCAGCACAAAGCGCAAGGCCTCGACTCCTGAAGCTGAAACTTCAGCACCGGAAGGAGATGTCATTGTGGTGGTACGCACACCATTGCCGAAGAAGTGCAAGATGGCGCTGGCGGTCTGGAAGACCGCAACACCGCCACCCTCCGTCAGCAATGAAGAGGTGAGTGTTTTTTTGTTTTATTCTCAAATATCATACTAACTTTGCACAGTCTGCTGAGGACACACATCCCATGCGCCTCTTCCCGACCCAATGTGAGCGGTGCATCAAGGACAACATCCCTTGCACCGTGATGCTGGGCAAGAAGAACGGCAAGGTCCGGAAGTGCTGTCACAACTGCAACGGCAAGAAGACCAAGTGCGTCTGTCTGTCCATGGACCAGCAGCGCCTTCTGCAGGCTGCTGCTGCTGCAGAGAAGAAGGCCCGGAATGGCATGCCAAAGAACAACGCCCCCCCTATGCAGGTAAAATACAGAACTCAGTTGAGGGCACCGGTCAGCACATGTGCCACCTCCCAAATTCGCCAGGCACTCACTGCCGAAGATGATGCGGATGCGGAGGGTGATGATGATCCAGAACACGGTAAGTCGATTCCATCCTTGTGATAAATCTTAATTAATATACTTCAGTCCCAGCCGTCATACTCCTGGCCCAACCTGTTCAGTCCGGCACCTCCACTGCAGGTGCAGCAGCATGACTGTCCGCAGGTCCGGTACCAACCCCCACTGTTGACAATGATGTCAACGTCAACTTCGCTCCTCCCGACAATCCTCCGACCCTCCCAAATGTCCCCGAAGCCCAGCAGGATGTCGGCCCCAACCCATCCATTGCACAGCTGACAGCTCTTGATATATTCAAGAGCATCGAGGCTCTCAGCCAGAAGTTCGATGCCTTGCTCAAGACATCGGATGATCGTGCAGAGGCCTTCCATCAGCAGATGGACTCTCGGGTGACTGCTTTGGACCAAGACTGGAGCAGCAGATTTGCGGTCATGGAGAACAGGCTCTGGGAGGTCGAAATGAAGACTGCCAACAACACCATGTCCATCGGACATGTGGCCAACAGTGTCAAGGGTTTGAGAGCCGGACAGCCTCTTGACGCTCCTCCTGCAGGCCACCCCTTTGGCCCGATACCCCCTGCTTGGCTCTCTCTACTGCCGGGTACCCATGAGGCCATCCAATCGGTGGACCAGGGCGTCTCAGTAGTGGGGAAAGAGTGGACCACCGTTTGGGATCTATCCAAAGCCAGTGGAGCGCATGGCCCCAGTACCGCCTCTGCTTCTGCAGTTTTTCCTGCCGGCTCTCCCACTCTGGCAAGCGGTTATCATTTGTCCAGCATCCCTTCCACCCCCGACAAGTCCGAGAAGTAGTGTACTGGTAGTTGCCTGGTAGTTGCCTGGTAGTTGCCTGGTAGTTTTTCGGTAGTTTTAGTTTAATCATGTACATTCATACTTCCTTTCATTGACCAGCATCATACAAATGTAATTCTGCCCACTATGTACTGGTTGTCCATAAGTGCTGCATCCTTCAGCAGTAACTTCAGTATTATTTGTCTTTATTATCCATCTTGTAGCAATTCCATTGCAAGTTCAACTAAGTTTGCCAGGTTCCCCAGTTCAGCCCTACCTCCTGGGTATTCATTGTGTTAGGTACTGTGCCAGCTCAAGAGGCAGAGGGGTCGGGGCTTGGCTTCAGCTCTTGCACTGCGCCCTTAGCCGAGTATGTGCCCCAAATTTGGAGCGGGTCCAACATTGTCGGACAATAGGACGAGTGGACCGCTTTGGTCTGCTTTTGGGGGTCTGGAAGTAAGAGCTACTAGCAGTGGGCCAACTAGGAGCAGAGCGGAGAAGGCGGGGAGTGATGTGGAGGGTGGATAGGAATAGGGGGAAGGTTCGGTAGGAGTGGAGAATTTAAGGGGAGCACTTAGAGCACGGCTCTAAGTCGGAGCGGATGGTCAGAGGGTCGGAGGTGACAACAAGTTGAGACTTGTGTCCAGAGGGGGCAAGGTCCTACTGAGAATTCTCACAAGAGGTAACTGCGAGAAGACAAGTAATATTAAGACTGGGGAAAATATCTAAGTACATGATGTGTTATATACTTATATGTATGAGGCAAGTGACCAGGATAACTATGTTGTGAAGCTATGTACCAAGGATATAATTTGTAAGTACTTACACAAGTGAAGACACAAGTTGGAGTGGATATCAATATGTACGCATCGGATCAGTGATCGAGTGGTAATAGGAATTACCGGTGATCCAGAAGTAAGGGTTCATGTACCAAAGGGGAAAGTATATATCTAAAAGGGGAAAGAGGTCCATTAGAATGGAGATGTTATGGAAGGGGACCGGTTGAGTGGTTGAGCAGAAATGTAGGAGCGGATGCGGATGATGATCAGATGGAGTGGAGGATGAATGGAGCGGAGGTGATCAGAAAGCAGAGCGGATATTGATATTAGAGCGGTCGGATCAGGTATATGACAGTTGAAGGCACAACATTGATGGTGGTGATTCACCACCTGGCCTTCCCAATAAGTAAGCCTTATTAAACTTGGTGATTACGTGTGTCACCAAGTTTAATTAGGTTTAGTTACAGTAAACCTCCAACACCAGCATTAAATATCGCCCCAAACACCTTTTTACCTTGCAGCTCCTACTACCTACCCGCTCAAAAGGGTAAGTACTGTTCCCTGCCCTCCCCAAGTACACGGCACTTCCCATAGCCTCCCCGCCTTATCTGATACTCGAACAACAGCGGCTTCCCATTCCCCTTCTGCTCTTACTCTACACCATCAACGTCACTGGGCAATATAGCCAATGATCGCCGACAATCCAAGTTGCTGGCTGGTGTCCTATGCACTGTGGCACCATCCTATCCCCTCAAGCAAGGTGCTTGCACTCCCACTATCCTCCTAGATCTCACCTGCCCGCCCGCCATCCTCCTCATTCCTGCCACCCTCAGATCATGCTATCCGACATGCCACACAGGATGGGATCTTCCAGGCTGAAAGGCCTTTCTAAGTCTATCATTTCACACAGCTTCAGAGGGCGGCATTGTCAGTCACACGTGTTGACAGCTGGCAAGCAAACCCAGCGTGTCGAGGCAGCTGCAGCGAGTCGTCAGGCTCTATTTCAAGGTATGTAGTATTTTCGTTGCTCTCTATCACCACCATACCATTGTTTTCCCATAGAGATGTTGTCTGAGGACCGTGAGATGGTCAAGAACATGATCATTGATTATGGTATGGACGTCGAGCTGGCAAAGCAAACTTAGTGCCTTGAGGCAGCAGGAGCAAGTCATCATGCATCATTTCAAGGTGCATAGAAAATCTTCTCACTGTTACTCACTCTTAAATCATCATCTCCCGCAGTGTTCACTTAGTAGTGCAAGATGGTTGAGAAAACATGAAGTAGCAGATATTCACAAGCTTTGAGTAGCCTGCTGAAGCTGCTGTTATCATGCACTTGTATCCTTTTGTGAAGTTAATAGCATCGAGCAAAGCATATTCTCCCTACTACATGCCTGAATAGTAAACCATCAATGTTCAATCTTCGGAAGACAATGTATAAGAGTCAGAACATAGAACCAAACATATTGAAGTGAGTATAGTGAAAAAAAATCGAAGAGCCACATACATTAAAGTAAGTGTAGTCAAAAGATATGAGAAACATTTGAATGAAGAAGGGTCAGAATGAAGTGCTGAACATGTTGAAATTAGTGAAGTCATAACTTGGAGTGGAGTAGTCGAGACTAGTAGATGATGGCGCGATGGTTGGCATCAACATGCCATCTTGATCTGCAGGGCCAAATATTTCATCTAACCTATCCAATATAGCGTCACAGTCGAAGGAAGCAGCATTAAAGGGTGGGAGATCAAGATCGTTGGAATCGTTGCTGAAGTGAGTATCACCAGGAATGGAGGTGGTGTTGGACGTAGTAGTGTCAGGCAGCTGATGAGAGGGTGCGGAGACATGAGTATCACCAGGCACATGAGGCATGGGGGTGGTGGTGGTGGTGTCAGGCAGCTGATGAGGAGAGGGTGCAGGAGACTTGCAACGAGCCTCGTCCTCTTCATTGTCCTCTTCCTCGGCGCCATTCTCCTTGTCACTTTCTTCAATAGTGTCTACACTCTTATACTTCTTGCCACGCGAGTAATGATCAGTAGCTGCAGGCTTCTTTCGTTTCTTACCTTTGTCAGATCGAGTCCGTCGCCTATGATCATTAATCTCGCCATGGTTGAGTTGATCATTGTGCTCATGAAGGATTTTGTCAAATTCTTCGTCTGTCAAAGTCTTCCAGCGCGTGGCACCTGATTCCCACTTCCGCAAGAGCCTGTTGAGCTCTGGGAGGGCACTGGACACTTGGCTAAGATTGGCAAATGGAACATTGTCAGGCCACCCCTCTATCATGACTTGGTAGCATTGGACAATGTTCCGGAAATAGTATGCCCATTGCATGTTGGTGTGAGGGTCACCAGTAATCTCACCTGTAGTGTAGCAATAAATAAATAATACATCACATAGAACAGGGGGACTTATGAAGAGTACTGTTGATAAGGTAGCGGATGGCTGTGTGTGTTTCAGAGACACGCTGTTGGTGATTTTTTGCAGCACCTAGTTTAGTTGTAAAATAAGTTAGAGTTAAACTGACAAAAACAAACAGCAGCTCGTACCTTTTACGCCTTGAACAGCAAAGCCCTCCATTTTACTAACTAGATCTTGATTGTCAATACCCATCACAGAGTGCATGAAGTCCTGAACACCTTCGGTTGCAAAGGTTAAACTTCGGAGGGGAAGATCAGTCAACCCGTGAGTGGTATAGAGTATAGTTTCTGTGCCTGTATGACATTGCAGACTTTGAAGCTATTTAAAACAAATGTATGAGCAAAAGAAAATTTGGAGGGGGGGACAGGAACCTCATTTTCGACAGCCTTGAGGGTTTGAGTGATATTGTTGACCTTGGATTTGGTAGAGGTGCACATACCAGTGGCCTTCATCAATGTCCATTTGGCATACTCCTTAAGCAGATCTTCCTGCTCATCCATTGAAAGGGCATAGTACTCCTCCTTATGCTCACAAACGAGCTGTTGGAGTGCACCTCTGCCTTGGTTGCCTGTAGAGATATGTCAGGTGCAATATATAGTGAGAGGGAGAAATAAAACTTACGATGCTCACTGGCCTGGTTTTTTTTCCCAACAGAACGTGTTCCATGCATTCAGCTTGGACCGCTTGGACCACAGGATCCCATGACCGATGTACAGTTCATTCTGTACACGGCAAATACTTTTATGATGGGCTGCGGCAATGGTCTTTGTAGCCTCATCAATCTGACACCAAGCCTCGTAAAGGGCGGTTTAAAACTGACGAGACTTGGCACGTTGGGTGGATGTGAGTAGAGCACAGGCCTCTTTGCTCAGGATAACCTTTGGACGGATGTGAGGCTGCTGCACCTGAACATGACGCCTGGCACTGCTCTTGTTGGTGTAGAAATACTGAGAGACCATCATCTATGAGAAGAGAGGGAAAAATGGGTTAGCATCCGAGTACACAAATTTCAGAAGCGCTAAATACATTCACGGATCCAACAGATATAATGCCGCAGTGAAAAGCCACCAGCTTATTATTCATGATCTACAAAATAATAAACAAACCAAAGAGGTAAAGTGCACATAAAAATACTAGAATGGTAAGGCACTTCAAAATGGCGGAGAGCACAGAAAATTTGCGCTAGTGAATGATTAGCTCAAGTGTGCAGCCACAATCAAATTACAAACCTTCACAATTTCAGGGTCGAATGGCACACCTTGAAGGTCTGCAAGAAGGGACATCGCCAAGACAGAAGCCTGCTCGTAGGTCAGATCCTACTTCTGGGACCTGAATACCAACTCCCAACAACTACTAAGCACAGTTCCAACAAGCACACAAAGTTTGGGTAAGACTTCATCTCCCAATTTGAACTGATCAAGAGCAGCATCGGTATTGGGACCAATACTAATCAGTGGAGGACTAAAATTTACACCATCACGAGCGAGTTCTGGCTGAACCAAACAAATCAGGCCAGGGTCTCTATCGGCAACAAAGACATCCGCAGGTCAGCGCTGTCGAACGTGCGAATGTGGGGATAACATGTCTTTTGCAACACTCACCACCAGTTGGATTCCCTTGGAAATTGCTGCAGATGCCAGCTTCTTTGGATCTGCAGCCATGACAGATGAGGTTTTCAGACTCTTCTCAAAGGTTTTTGGTGCCTGCACAGAGCATGCAATGCGAGCCCCAGTAGCCACAAGAGGCCCTGGGAGGTACCATGGCCCATCTGTACTGATATGAGTGGCAGGAACTTCAGAGCTTCATTAGTGATGTGAAAAAAGGGAAAGTTCAGTTGGACTTACAAGAGTGAGGTGGTTTGACATTTTCGATAACACAGTGCTTAGCAAAACGTTGGAGATGTGGCATTGCAAATTCTTGAGTGAATGCTTGCACAAGCACAGCAACATCTCCTCCAATCTGTAGAGGAACTTCTTGCAGCTCTCGTGGTGTGATGTACAGCTCAAGAGGAATTTTCTCTGGTGACATAGTTGGAGATACTCCAGAGCCCACACACTGAATAAACAGAGATATACCACCATTGAGGCAGTCCTGGATAGCAATCTAAAGAGTGTGAGATTTAGTGGGGGAAAAAATAAGTTCACTTGCTGCATCAAATATGTCTTGGAGTGTCGCCTCGACAAGTTCTTTCTGAGTCTGCAATCTCCCCAACTCGGGCTCTTGAGTATTGGAGTGAAAGGTTATGTAGGAGGGATGAAGACCGCCATGTGTCCTGGCATGATAATGCATGCCGTCAATGTGAGCATTGTGCCGAAGTAATGCCCTGGCAGCGGCTTGGTGTTCATTGTTGCTAAAGCCTTGTCCAAAAGTTGAGCGATGTAAGGCGGCAAGTCCAGACATTGTGTAACTGTATGAACCCTGTGGTTGAGTTTGAGACTGCATGGATGTTGAAGACGACATGAAAATGGTTGCAGACATAACAAGCATTCTTTGTACTTGAACATAAATGGGCTAATAAAAGCATTAGATAACACGGAGTGCAAAAGTTGAATTCTGTGGGCTCTACCTCTTTTGCGAGTGTAATGTAGGAGTGTTGACCATGATCAATGCATCTAAGTTGAAAGATAGCACTGGACATGCTTGTAGCATTGATAATGGGTGATTTGAGAGTGCGATCTGAGAGTGCGGGAGGCTACTACTGTTTGATGTGTGATGCGCAAGATGCAGTGCTGCCAATTTGGGATGTTGGCTCGAATAAACTTGAAGTTCATTGACTTCCAAACCATTCAGCAAGATTTCAGATCTGAGTATTTAAATGAAAACTTAAATGCAACCCATGCAGTGATTCACAATGAAAGTTAACCAAGTACTTGATCGCAACAATTGGACTATGATTTAGGAACAGGGTTTATGATATCAGTGCACGGTACTTGATCATTGCTTGATCATGACACTTAGACTGTGCACTCCGGCGGTCTCTTCTGCACGGGACCAGTCTCATCTGTCAAAGATAGTGGTCGAGCGGCGGGCTGAGACAGGCCAGGCCCTGCTGGCTCGAATTTAGAATTACGGGGTGGAGGGTGAAGAAATGAGTTCTCTGTATGAAAGAATGGTTCATTAGTAGCGCTAAAAATGATGCAGAAGACTATGTCAGACATATTGCATCATGAGAGGGTTGTAGCCACTTTACATGGAGTCAGTAGATCTAGTGGAGGATCCATTCAGAACACTTGTGGGACATTCTTGTGGCCATGAAATAGAGTGGGGGCTATTGGATCATGCGAGTCACTGGGGGCGGTGGATGGGGATCTCAAAACATATGATGCATTCAAATGTGTGTAATAACTACACTACATGCAAAAATGTGCACAACACGAGTAAACTAGTCAGTGATAGAATAAAAAAAGTTGGCCATATCCTCCGCCGCTGTGCTGTGCTCCTCACATTCAATTGCATCTATATCAGCATAGTCAGTTGTGATAATTGCATGAATGTCGTCAACATTCTGCAGTGCGGCTGTAAATTAAATTAAATTAGCACAAAATCATGCAAGGAAAAATAACCTTACCTGAACCTGCATGAACGTCAAGAGATCTTGAAGCATGTGAGGTGGAGGGGGTGTTAGGAGCCAATGAAGGATGCTGCACATGGGCATTGATGCCCCCAGTACCTGAGAATCCAGTGAGGTGCTCAATACGATCTAAGTGAAAGCAATGGACATAAATTAGCACAGAAATCGTGCAAGGGGAAATAAGCTTACCTGAATCTGCAAGAACATTGAGGGATGTTGAAACATGCAAGGTGGAGGGGATGTCGGGAGCCAATGAAGGATGCTGCATGCGGACATCAATGCCCCTGATGCCTGAGAATCCAGCGAGGCTCTCAATATGATCTAAGCGATAGCGATGGACAGCATTGGCGCTGCAGCTCAGCAGCCAGTCTCGGGTCTGAAAGAAGTAGATCGTCAATAACCACAGAGGTTTGGAGTTCTTCAGCATGAATTGCAGTGGGTAAGTGGCAAACTTTAATGTTAAGTCGCTCAACTTCTTCATGAGCACGGCATAACTTGAAAAATTTATTAGTTGCTTCCCAATGGGCTGGTTTGGCCCAATCATTGCTGCGAATGTCGGTGTGTGAATGTCGTAACAAATCAAACTCGCCAAGAAAACTATAATCGACAATATCTTTCCATGAAATTTTCGGGTGTGGGGGATTTAGAGCGACAGCCTGGATATTGTACCAATTTATCACGTTTCGGATAGCCTCAGAACGCCATTGCAAAGCCTTGCTGATCTGCTGACGTAGTTTGTACCCTAAAAATTAAATCAGCGGAGAAACCAGATAGGTACTGATGAACAACTTGCCTGTCCCTGACAACGAAAGTTTGGAAAGCTTGAATAATCGCATGACTACTAGGCGCTCCAGCTCATTGTTAGGTACCATGCCAGCTCAAGAGGCAGAGGGGTTGGGGCTTGGCTTCAGCTCTTGTGCTGCGCCCTTAGCTGAGTACATGCCCCAAATTTGGAGCAGGTCCGACATTGTCCGACGGTAGGACAAATGGACCGCTTTGGACCGCTTTGAGGGTCGGGGAGTAAGAGCTGCTAGCGGCGGGCCAACTAGGAGCGGAGCGGAGAAGGCGGAGGATGGTACAGAGGGAACAGGGGAGAATATTGGATAGGGGCGGGGTATATGGGAAAGACTTAGAGCACGGCTCTAAGTCGGAGCGGGGGATCGGAGGGTTGGAGGTGACAACAAGTTGAGACTTGTGTCCAGAGGAGGCAAGGTCCTACTGAGAATTCTCACAAGGTGTAACTGCGAGAAGACAAGTAATATTAAGACTAAGGAAAAATATATAAGTACAGGATATGTTATATACTTCTATGTGAGGCAGTGATCAGGATAACTTTGTAGTAAAGCTATGTACCAAGGATATAGTACTTTACATAGGCGAAGACATAAGTCGGAGCGGATATCAATATGTACGCGTCGGATCAGCAATCGGGCGGTAATAGGAATTACTGGTGATCCGGAAGTAAGAGTCTATGTACCGAAGGGGAAAGTATATGTCTAAAAGGGGAAAGGGATCCAGTTGAATGGAGAGGTTTATGGAAGGGGACCGGTTGAGCGGTTGAGCGGAAGCGTAGGGCGGAATGCGGGTTTTGTGATAGAGCGGAGTGGAGGATGGATGGGGCGGAGGGGGTTGGAAAGCGGGGCGGATATCAGTATTGGAGCGGTCGGATCTGGTATATGACACTCGTCAAGTGCAGCGCGATACTTGCCCAGACATGCCTCCATCTTGAATTGGGTGTATTCTGGGCCACCTATCTCCCATTGTGCCTCCACAGCCAACTGAATTTTAACATGCGCCACCAGCACTTCAGCATGTTGCAGTTTCACATACGATGAATCAACACAGATCCAAGCTTGTGCAAGTGCTTCATTAATCTTCTGCGAGCTGCCAGCTGCAATCCCTGTAAGGGAATTGTTAGCAGCTTCGCGTGCTGCATGCCAATCAGTTCTGAGATTGTTAACATTAGGCATATTTACATATAAAAATGACTTATAGTACAAACCTTTGTTCAGTTAGTTCATCAAGGGCTTCTACATAGCGGATGCAAAACTGATCTCTTGCAGGAGGTTGTTTCAAGCTATGAAGGTAAGCACATTCTTGCTCGAGGTAGCGTGGGAAGTCATCATCAGTGATACTCAGCTCCGATTTGATGGTGGATAGCTCGACAGTAAGGATCTCAATTGATTTGAGGGCTTCGTGGTAGTGATTCCACAAAAAGTTGCCTAAGGCACATTAGCGTCATGTATGCAGTTAGTTAGACACGAAAAACTTACTAAGGTTAGCATATTTGTCATCATTCCAAAATGCGAAGTGTTGTTCAATCGTCTGATGCCAGTGGAACGTGCTTGCATGTCAGGTACCACGCGCAAGTGCATTGGATGTGGAAAATATATGCTCGCAGCCCTCTCCTTCGCTGTGTCCAGTTCCCGTAATATACATTGGATGCCAGTCAAGTTGACACATGCGATTGTGGGCATGGCCATGAAAGGCCCCAACCATCAGACGAAATCCAAGGTCTTGCGCTTGTGGCCCTATAGTACTATTACCTAGTGTCTTCATAAAGGCACAGCCTATATTGTATGCGCATGCCCCATTCTTGCCATAGCCCGTAAGCAGTTTGTCGATGATGGCAAGTGGGTATTTTGCCCTAATATCAGTAAAATAAATGAAACTTAATTGATTAGCAAACATGAACTTACAATTCTCCGCTTCAGATCATATCACAAGCAAGAAGCACAAACCGATGGCAACATGCCACAATGAAGATTCCTGATTGATCGAATATGGAAAACATCTTCTTCCAAGTTTCTGGACCAGCATTCTTCCACTGATCTGCACAAATGAACGGGGCAGGGTTGGTTTCAACTGCTGTATCCTCAATGTTATTGCCTTCTTCTGCCTAAATGACTGATGAGAACATGATCATGCAATTAGTCAACACTTACCGCTTGTGATCTGACTTCGCCACTGAATTTGTCCACAGACTCTGGATCAACCCAAAAGTCAGAGTGAGCCTTTTGGGAATCAAGTTGGGCATTTGTCCCATATATTGTCAAGTCCCATCTCTTCAGGCTGTTGTTGCCATCAACTGATACAAGCCACTCAAACTCAAGTTTGGGCTCATCATTGAGTTTGTAAAAGCATGCAGGGCAGGAGTTTAGAAGACACCAGTTCGGAGTATCACGTTTCAGGGCTGTGCGAAGGCATTGGTCAACACGTTGGAGAATTTCCAAATAGATGTTGAAGGCAGAAGATAATTGCATGGTGAGGTAAGGCCTATAAGGGATCTGTCAAGTCAAACATCATAATAAGTTACATAACTGCACGGATGAACAGAGTGTTTACATCATGAAGAAAACAGAGAGCTCTGCACTGCGCTTGAAAACCGAATGAAGGGCACACACGGTGCATTTGGCGGTATGCATCAAGGGTACAGAGAGATATAGCAATGGTTGGATACACTGGCACACATCCAATGTAACCGTGATAGACCAAAGCCTCGTTGGGATATACATGAAAGGGTTGCGGTTGAAGCAAAGAGCACTTTCGACCTGTTCAAATTAGTACTGACAAACAACAAGGCAGTGAATACATACTAAAGATATTGATAACTTCAATTTCGCTCAGCAAAACACGTTGAGTATCATTGGATGGTGAAGGTGCAGGTATTCCATTGCAGTTGGGCATGCCATCCTCCGAGCTGCAGTGGCGGTAGTATAAATATGCCTCTACCAGGCAGTCCATTTGGATATCCCAGGGGTTCATTTCATTTTCGATGTGATCAGTGCGAGTGCATGGGTCTACATAGCGGCTCCAAATCCACATATGATTGAGATAGCGCAGGTAGTGAAAAAACCAACACTTACCATCCATTGATCCCAGCAATTTCATGGGCGAGTCCCTCAAATGCCTCAAATTCACCTCCGGCATGGCTCATGTCAAAACCTTCTTCGCCTGGGGGGGCAGAGTATGGTTGTAGCTCAATGTCCATACCATAATCAACAATCATGTTCTCGATCATCTCGCGGTCCTCAGACGACATCTCTATGGGAAAACAATGGTATGGTGGTGATAGAGAGCAATGAAAATACTACATACCTTGAACTAGAGCCCGACGACTCGCTGCAGCTGCCTCGACACGCTGGGTTTGCTTGCCAGCTGTCAACACGTGTGACTGACAATGCCGCCCTCTGAAGCTGTGTGAAATGATAGACTTAGAAAGGCCTTTCAGCCTGGAAGATCCCATCCTGTGTGGCATGTCGGATAGCATGATCTGAGGGTGGCAGGAATGAGGAGGATGGCGGGCGGGCGGGTGAGATCTAGGAGGATAGTGGGAGCACAAGCACCTTGCTTGAGGGGATAGGATAGTGCCACAGTGCCTAGGACGCCAGCCAGCAACTTGGATTGTCGGCGATCATTGGCTATACTGCCCAGTGACGTCGATGGTGTAGAGTAAGAGCAGAAGGGGAATGGGAAGCCGCTGTTGTTCGAGTATCAGATAAGGCGGGGAGGCTATGGGAAGTGCCGTGTACTTGGGGAGGGCGGGGAACAGTACTTACCCTTTTGAGTGGGTAGGTAGTAGGAGCTGCAAGGTAAAAAGGTGTTTGGGGTGATATTTAACGCTGGTGTTGGAGGTTTACTGTAACTAAGCCTAATTAAACTTGGTGACACACATAATCACCAAGTTTAATAAGGCTTACTTATTGGGAAGGCCAGGTGTGATTCACATACTGTAGTCACTTTACCCTTGTATAAAACATACAGCTGAGGTTGAAATATCCCTGTTCTGCACAGGCCACCCCTTGTGGGCCCATCAATGTATCTTTGTGCTAAATACAGGTGGGCCAGTCTCAAGTGTGTATCTGACACAAACAGGGGGCCCATAGTATGTGGTGTAGTAGATAAGTGTAGACTTTTCTATTGATTTGGTAGGTAGTGTATGAAGTATGTACCTGATACAAACAGGTGGGCTGATAGTCCAAAATGTGGACTTTGCTATTGCATTTGATAGGCAATATACAAGAGCTATATATATATGTATGTATATGTGTATGATGGAAACAAGCGGGCCCAGTGGGCAGTGGTACTGATATATACAGATGGGCCGAGAGTGTTCATAGACTAGCTTCCATAATATACATGCCAAGACCACCTCGGTCAAAGGACATTCAGTCAAATATGATGGATGAGGGATTACCAGGAATCAATCCATAATATAAATGCCAAGACCACCCCAGTCAAAATACAACTTGGTCAAAAGACATTTGGTCAAATATGATGGATGAGGGATCTACCAGGATCCAATACATAAGATACATGCCAAGAGCACCTTGGTCAAATATGACACAGTCAAAAGACACTTGGGTAAATATGACTTGGTCAAAAGACAATCAGTCAAATATGATGGATGAGAGATTACCAGGATCCAATCCATAATATACATGCCAAGACTACCTTGGTCAAAGACACTCGGTCAAATATGATGGATGAGGGATTGTCACGATTTGGTGGGGGCAGCCCATTGCAGTATTGCATGGAGTGTAAAAAATTGGTCACACAATGCCTGACCAAGTCATATGCAATGGTTTTGCCAGGATCCCATAGAAGTAGGTAGGGCAATATCAGACTCCATGCCACCGGTCATATATGGAATGCCAGATGATGGCAAGAAGATATTGGTGAATTGTATGAGTTGATGAAGTTTCGGTTCCATGGAATCTCATTGGCATGTGTGATGCAGCAACCGAGATTGGGTGATTGGTCATATGGAGTATAAATCGGTCAATTCTGAACAGACAAGATAAACTGAAGGATACCATGCCAACTGCAACACATGACTGAGATACACTCTGCTGACATGCTGTTGGTACTTATATCACAGGAAAGAGAGTGAATATACATGGAATCAACACCCAAACAATTGCATTTGAAAGTAAGTAATACAAGTCCGTGCTATACTGGGGTAATTCTGCCGATGGGCGCATGCTCTATGTACAACTATGTAGTGTGCCAAATGATCAGGGGAGAGATTGTGTGGCTGAAGCAGGTGATGTTCCAGCAGAATGGGGTCCAACTACAGCAGGAGCAGATGAAGGATCGGCATGTGCTGACACTAAGGATACTTGGCCAGATGTGAATGTGTTGCTGTGCATGTCAGGGTGAGATGCTGAAGGGCCTGCAGCAGATGCTGAGGTACCAACCAAAGGGCTGTACACACCATTCAAGTACCTGATGCCCATCACTTGCACCTGTGTGGTGGCTGAGGTAGCACCAAAGTTGCTTATAATCAGTGGTGGGAACAATGAGTTGGCAACAGTATGTGTCTGCTGAAGCTTCTCCACCAGGCCAACCAGACCATTCATGAGTGTGACAGTGGCGCCAAGATCTAAATGCATGAAGGAAAGCTCTGCACGCATTGAGGAGATCCAGGTTTCGCAGTCCTGTTCCACTGCATCAACCCTGGCAAGGGTATTCTGGTTGGTGACTTGCATGGCAGTGACCTGAGGAGCCAGGGAAACCACACATTTGTGGATGGTGCTGATGGTCAGTGGGAGAGATGCTGAAGGAAGGGAAACATCTCCAGCCACAGGAGTTGGTGTCAGAATGACGAAGTCATTGGAGTTGGGCTCTACCCAATGATAGGTGGAGAAGTCATCCGCAGATGTGATGGCTTGAGGGTCATTGACAACAATCTTATTGTCTGCTGCAGGCTTAGCTGGTATCTCTGAGTCAGCAATGGTGTCGATATTGACATTACCAAAGTGCTTACCTTGGACTTCAGCGGACTGGCCAGTGTTGCAACCACAATGTTGCCTCCTGGCTGCCTGTCCTCATCCTCAGTGTCAGAGAGGAAGGCTTTGGATGAGGGCCTGTTATGACCAACGTCCCTTAACCTAACTAGTAGGTGTCTGGAGATCGGATCACACCACAGGACTCGTCTGAGAGAGGATAAAACAAGGATAGTATTGAGAGGGAACGTCTAGGTCTACGATGACGTAAGAACGAAGAGGTTAAGTCTAAGGAGTACTACTGACTATGACCTAAACTATATACTACTCTCTAAGCGGAGATATCTGAGTATGAAAGGTAGTGATATATCTATATAAGATCATAACATTGCGCCTAGGGTATAGGGCGTCTTATCAACCAATCAACTACAAGAAAGGGAAAAGGGTCCATAGGGATATCGGTGATTAAGCAGGGTCTCAGGGTTCTGCTTCTATTCAGGGTGGACAGATATGAAGAAGGGTGAGAAAGTTCTGTGATAAGAAGTCTCGAGTGGTAATTAAGGATCTCGATAAGAGATAGGATCTGGAGATGTATCGGGTACGATCGGATCTAAGGGTTTCTCCAGGGTCTTCGGTAATGAGCATGCTTCTCTGTGAGTGGCGCTTCTGTGATAGGGTTCAGGGGTTTAGCTGTGACTGTGCAACAGGTTCTTTATGTAAGGGTTTCGGTGAATGACAGAGGTAACTCTTAACATGTCATGTGTGGGAAGTGAAGGTCTGCGATGTGAAGGGATGATGACTCTTCGAGAGATGACTCGTAAAGGACTCTTGGTTATGGTTCGATCATAGAGGCATGTAGATGCTTATGATGTAATCCGTTGCCTAATCGTAGGACTTCTAAGGATATGATGATGTCGAGTGTCTAGGGTTACAGATATAGATGGATGACGTCAACTTAGTATAGATGTGATGTGAAGATAGTGATCGTTAATCGGTTATCCATCTTATCTTATCAGTGATCTTATCTAATCTAATCTTATCGGATAGGGTCTCTTAGGTTTGATAATCGAAATTTAGATGCAGTAGGGAACATTCATGACAGGGCCTCAAGGCCTTGCGCTTCTTCCTGCCTGTCTCAGCACCTGGGCTGTCCGCTCAGGAGCTCCAAGTCCCACAGGCAGGCTGTTTGCCCTTGTTGGTCATTGTGCCAGGCACAACGAGATTGTGCTGGTGCCCGGCAGGAGGGAGCAATTCTATCAGAGGGACTGACATTGGTGCAGGGGCTGTGGATGGGGTGACTTGAGGTGCAGGTGTGGGTGTGCCTCCTGCCACTGTCAGTGTAGACACAATGGCCACTGACTCACCATATCCAACAGTCTTTGGGAAGAATAGGTGGGACTCCATGTGAGGATCGTTATCCCACACCCGGGCCCACTGTGGGGCAATGCCTTGGTTCATGGTCAATCTGACCTTGGCTGCTGCAGACAGCAGCAATGGCAAGATGACCAAGGCATTTCTGCCATGCTGCTGAAGGGCAGCAGACTGTGAAGGGTCAGTGAGAAAATGAGAACATTGGGAATCAGAAAGATTTACCACTAGTCAGGCGATTTCATGAGCTTGGTCAATGACCATGCTTCCATCTGCTTCACAGAGTCTAATCCAGTAGATTGCATGGTGCAAAGACATGTCAGCGACCGCCAAAGCCTTGTTTGATTTGAGTGGTGAAGACATAGTAGAGATATAATGGTAAAAATGTAGAAGATAGGATGAGTGTTGACCTAGTTATATCGGGAATGACAATGTGTGGATGTGGATTTGACTTCACTTTTGTGAAGTCCACAAATTTTGCTTGTGTTGTCAGCAAAATGTGACGCTGCCAGGACCTGCCAAGATGGGTCCACACTTCAAATCACACCGAATGCACTTCTAATCACACTGAAAAATACCAACTGCCAGCATACAATTTTCAAAGTCCATTGCCAGCACCATGGATTCCCATGAGCATCCAATTGACAAAGCTGGGCAGTTACAAGACGAGCGCATGAAAGCCAACTGGAATTTCTTTATCACGTGGGACCAGTGGGTGCCACCAAAGTTGTGGCTGACTCCACCCCCTCAAAAAGATGTGATTCCTGTGGGTCTCAACAAAATTTGCATTCAACCTAAACGACCAACTACATCCCGCACAATTCAACCAAAGAAACATCTGTCCTCAGTCATGTGAACACACCTGGACCGTGCAGATGCACTTTCCAAGAAACCTTTTGGCCATGAAAGTAAGTCCCCTATTCAATTGACCTTTGCTAATTGTTGACCACATGTCAGTATTTGACATGTGCCGGAGCACTGAAGCCAATGAACTGCCAACCATGGAGATGCCGACCGCGACATCATCGGCTGGTCGACACTTTTGGGGTCAAAGTAAGTCACTTATTGCCATATGATCACCCATTGTTGACCAATTGACCAGCATTTGACATGTGCTGGGACACCAAGGTTGATCTGGCACCGATCATGAGTGTGGATGTGGCAAGACCTGTGGCAGCAGGTCAATACAATCTTTGTTGAGATGATGAACCGGACCCGTCAAAGGTTGACTTGTCGCCGATAGTAGAGCCGGCGACTATTGAGACTCTGATCATGGATGTCACCATACCTTTGGTGGCTGGTCAATATGATATGTGTTGGGATGACTGACTGTCTGCATCAGCAGTGGGCTATAAAGGTGAGTATCGGTCATGTACATTGCCATTCCAGACTGACTATTTCTCAGCCAATTTTAACATGTGCTGGGGAGATTTGCCATCGGGTGGAGGTGATGACCTTCACACTGGTGGGACCACTGCACCAGTGATCAACTCAGTCAACTCAGGTTGGTCAGAAATATTTTTTTGAGTTGCAGGTACTGACAGTCTGGTGGAGTTGTCTGAGAGTCACTCCACTGGCACTCAGGCTTACTACAAAATGGGTTTTGGCCATGGCTTGCCAGATACATCTCCAGCACTGAGAGACGGCTCACCAAGTGTCATGTTTGAGACAACTGAGGATTTGCTGTACCAAGCAACTCTGAGGCTGGAAAGCATCAACACTTTGATGAGTATGTGCAAATTTCAGGTCATCCTCACTGCCATCACATTGACCTCCACTTGACAGGAGATGAACAAGGACACACCTTGGCCATTGATGGTGTTGCATCTGCAAGAGATATCATAGATGCCCACTGGGATTTGATATTGGCATATTGGGATGCATGCAACCAATTGATTGAAACTGGCAAGGATGTTGTCAGGATTCAGCATCTGATGAACATGCAGTGCCAGATTGATGATCCACTGCATGTGTTGCTGCTAGCAATGAGGAAAATGGGCAGGGGACATTCCCAGTTCCAGTAGTGTATAAGGCCGAGTACTGATACCAAAGATTGTTAATAAATGACATGTACATACCAAGATCATTTAATAAATGATATGTATATAGCGAGATCATTCATGGCCAAAGAGGAAGCTGTACACAATTATCAGCCAAGTGATATATACCTAAGCTGTTCATACTGTGAGCAGCTGGCCGATGAACCCCATACAAATGAGACCGTCGACAACTACACATAGTCAGCATATCTCTTGGGCTTTTGCTGAGGTCTGGCGCCTAGTGAGTTGTCAACCTTGCTTCTGGTGCACTTTGCTGGTGCATCAGAGAGTGGGAATGCTGCCGCTCGGGTAGCCCTAGTCTTTGGCGACCAGTCTTTTACCGCTGGTGAATCATCTGTTGTAGCCCTAGTCTTCCTTGGCGATCAGGCTTTGACCAACAGTGATGCATCCCTAGTAGCCTTAGTCTTGTTTGGCGCTGGGACCTTTACTGCTGGGGATGCATGAATGTATTCCAAACCCCAATGAGTAGAATGTGGGCCAAAACCATGGGCATGCTGTCCAGCATGATGAACTCAGGAAGAATGATATCCAGTGTTTGTTGCAATGCCATCACAACTTTTATCTTCCGATCCCTTGGTCACCAGTGCAGCAGGCATGCAGGTCTTTCCTGCAGCAGTGGGTTTGCTATTATAATTGCCTGGATCTACAATCAGTTGGTCTTGATGTGCTGGGTCTGTCCGGGGTAAGATGGTGGCAGGCTCAACTCTGATGCTCTTCCCCAAGCTCATCGGCAGGTGGTTGGTCATCTGACTCTGACTGGCGTCTGACTTGATCACTGAGTTCTGCATTTGCACCTGTCCCTACATGGTTGGGGGCATGTTTCTTCACCTGCTTTGGCAGGAACACATCTGCATTGGTGTCACTGGATTCTTCATTGGCAGAACTGATGTAAGCCTGTTTGATGGATCTCGGTCAACCTTTGGCATGTCCAGGCAGTGACAGTGCAGCCATGGTCTGTGACTTTTTGGTCAGCATGGGCTGCACGCCCTCATTTTCGGCATCACCATCAGAGTCATCAAACTCTTTGCCAACCAGTGGGTGTATCTTGCCCTTGTCATCAATACAAGCCTTGAACTGGAATGTTAGGCCAACTTGGTTGTCCTGTTGGTGTGGGTACAACAAGTGTAGCAGCAAGAAATCTAACTACTACAAAGTTGGGTCTTTGCTGCCTGCTGCCTCACTTGAGAACAAGCACATTCGACCCTAAAGGGGATTGCTACTGGGGAGTGCTAGTCTCTGTCTAAACAACCCTAAACAACCCTACCATAGGTAGGATGAGGATCCACAAAAATGCGGAACAAGCAGAATGAAGCAGAATGAAGCAGAATGAGCATAACTCAAACAGATAAAATGTGGAACATACAGATTCGTCGGAATGTGCGGATCAAGTCAAAGGGAGTATATCACAAGTTTAGATTGATAGTGAGCATAAGTCAAAGTGGTCCTCTAGTAAGGTGAAGGAAAAGTTGGAGAAAAGTCGGAAGGTAAGAGATGAGATTCGATAAAAAACACCCAAGCCCTGAGTACCCCTACTTATAGGGAACATTATTGTCAATCCGTGTCTACTTCATCGAGTACTGAGACAATGGAAGACTGAATGAAGGCTGTTCATACAGAATGACTTGAGTCCTGCATCAGACCAGATACAAGAGTTGTAAATCACAAGTGAAGATCAAGTTAGAGAATACATGGTCTAACTATTGGGTATATATAGGTATCATCCTATGAGTTCAGGGGAGGTCAACTGGTCATGGTGAGTCCTCAACTAGGTAATCATCTATGTGAGTCATAAGGACTCATAGATAAGGTCTATCAGCAATCAGGGTTACCAATCATTCAGTAATGATAAGAGTGAGTCATAACCAGCACAGCGGTAGGTGCTCAGGAAGATAAGAGATAGAAGCATGCAGCTTCTGTGTTTCAAGGGGTGACCGCAGTTGTGATAAGCGATAGTTGTTACCGGTGTATCGGTAGAGGCGATAAGGGAGAAGTGTGCAGCTTCTATTGATCCCAGTGTGGGTGAGGAAAATAGACTCTGGGGTGATTCAGAGGTCTAACAAGGGTGCGAGACAAATACTCGTCCCGAGGGGATTGCTACTGGGTAGCGAGTCCTCAAGTAAGTGCAAGGAAAGCAAAGACTAGACTCTGTCTAGTGACCCGAAGGATTCTGGTCCTTACTAGGACTGGAAACGCAAAGATGCAGAAGGTACATGATGAGCGGAACACAGCACACAACAAATGGAACAAGCACACAACAAGCGGAACTAATGCGCAACAAGCGGAACTATCGTGCAACAAGCGGAACTACATGGAACTAACAGAACTAACGCGGAACAAATGGAACAAATGGAGGGAAAAGGAAACTACAAGCCTGTATGAGGAAGATTGGGCAAAGTCAGACCAGGCTTGTGTCTGGTACTTGCTCCAAGTCATCAGATCCAATGTTGGGCGTTTTCAAGTGGAACTCACAGAGGCGGGAACATTGCGATGAGAATAGGAATAGATTCAGGAAGATATTTTAAACAGTGAGTGGAGCACTGGGAAGTACTCTGTAAATGGAAGTGGAGTCGAGTCTATCAAAAGGTAAAAAACTAAGATCCCATCTATTGCTATCTATATAGGAAGGGGTTCCAAAAAGTGCTATGCTACAAGCGGGTGAGGCTGTGAGATAAGGAACCGGTTCCGAGTAGTGGAAGGATCCATATAAGTATTGTAACACATATGAAATGAGATAGCAACATGTCAGTAACACAGGGAATGTAGTGAGGACTCACCAGTGAGGATGGAAGGATGGGGACAGGACAAAGGAGGACATTCTGAAGGCTAAAGGGATATGATTTGCATGATGCACAGTTGTTCTGCTTGGTTCTGTTGTGTTCTGCTTGGTTCCATGTAGTGGACGGGTCAGGTAAGATGTGGATGGGTAGCAGAATGGTGGCGGAACACATGGAAAGATGGTGGTAAGGCTTGGGAATTATATGGGATATGGGCCTACAGTGGGGACGTTCCTCACACCGGTCTAGGTCTGGTCTAGAGCTGTCATACTGTACTATGTAGTTTAGTCATGTGCCGGTGATGTCATCTTGTCATGTGTTGTGACTCAGTTGTGATGGTGATGTTTGGTGGAGATGATAGGGGTCTGAGAGTCCCTGTAACAGGTCGTGTGAGCAATAATTCAGATGAGTGACATACCAGTGTAATAATTGCATGTAAGGGCTAGATTGTACCGAATAGTGTGACCCCCATTGCTACAAAACTTATTGAGTGGTGCAGATGCATGAGCAGGTATGTCAAGTGAAGTCAGAGGTCCTGAAGTGCTCTTGGCGTATTATATACACAATCACTATAAACCATTGACATTGTGCCATGAATATCCTTGCTGATGATTCCTGTGAGGTCAAAGTGACTATTACATATGATGCATTGCATTTGGCAGTTGCATGTAAGCACTGTATTGTCCCAAAGTCTAAGCATCCCATTCCCAGCATCACATCCAGACAATCACAGCAGGACTTTGGAACATGGTCAAGTCAAAGCCAAAGGCCTGGAGTCCTCTGAAAACATCCTCTTTGGTTTAATGGGAGGACAAACAAACATCTAGGGGAGATAAAGGACGATTTGTCAAAGCTTGATGTTCCAAACCAAATTGGTTCATTCATCCCCCAGAAAATCGCCTACCAAGCAGGGATCTGTCAGTGGACTTCATGCAGAGGGTGACTATGAGCACTATGACCTTGCCCAATGCAACTTGGAGCCGTGTTAGCTTCACAAGTCCATGGCAAGACACTATTCGCTTGCCTTGTCCCATTCACTGACACCAAGTATCAAGAGTCAAAATGACTATCTGCGTGAGTGGCAGTCGAAGACTGACGACTACTTGGACTTGCTCCTTCGGCAAGAGGGTCCACCTTCAAACAGGACCTGCTTGGTCTGTCCAAAGGATGGGGTCTACAGATGTCACGGCTGCATGGCTGAGCTGTTCTTCTGTACTCATTGCTGTTGGACAATGCACAGCCACATGCCATTCCATCAGATCAGTCAATGGACTGGGGGATTCTTTGAGGATACTTCCCAAGATTGGCCTGGAAATCCACCTTAGTCATGCTGGCCAGCCTTGCCCTGGTTTCATGGATGAGTAGTGCGACACAGATGATGAAGGAGACCATTTGACTGAGGGCCCTTGGATACCCATGGTCAACAATCCTTGGACAACCATGGTGGTGGACATGTCGGGGCTCCACTCCCTGATGATCAGATTCTGTCGGTGTGCCAACACACTAAGCCCTGACATGCAACCATTTGAAATGGGACTCTTCCCAGCATCTTTCACTTCACTGAAGACGGCATTCACATTTGCAGTGTTGAATGACTTCCTGTTGGACAATCTGGAATGCAGGACTTCCGCCATGAACTACTACAGTAAATTGAGGCGAGTGACTTCCAGCATGTTTCCTCATCTGGTTCCAGTGAGTGACTTTGATGTTCTCCACTGCATCGCTCACAATGGCCAAAAGGACCGATACAGGGAATTGATGAGGGTGGGTAGGCAGTGGAAGCAAGTCAAACAGCTCAAGTGGCATAGGTTTGGCTATGAGAAGAGAAAGCCAAAGGCAGGGGAGCTCGTACTCTTCTGTCCTGCATGTCCACAACCCAGGGTAAATGTCAATTCATCAGACAGGAATGGGTCCAACCCTGCATGGTTGTATTCAAGATCTTTGGTCATGGATGGCAATTTCAAGGCCAAACATTTGTATCTGGCCAATCCAACCAATGAGGTGGCATTGACCAATGGCTTGGGCTTCATGGTCGGCGATGCCCAATACAAAATGCATCTTGCTAAGGCACAGGACACAGTGCAGAGATCAGATTGCAACAACCACCAAGCAGTCAACCAGGCAAATGTGTCACACCACAAGCTTGAGGCAACAGGGATAGGTGGGTGTGCTTGCGCCAGACATGGGTTTTTCATTCCCCATTCAATGGAGGACTTTCAGAAGGGGGAAAGGTTCGCTGTCCAATATACTAAATTGACTGAGTTGAACTGATGCATCGGTCAGCCAAAAGGCAGATGAACATGGATTATGCACTGTGCCAAGCTCTGGGGTACAATTCTGATGGGATCAACCATGCATTGACATTCTATGACATTAACTGTCAATACCACAAGCATCTCAACCAGCAGATTGAGGAGTGGCCCTACCCTGACCTTCCATGGGGCATGGAGATTGTTCCAGGCATCAGGCTCTGGCATGTCCACGGCCATCAAGACAAATGTTATGTACAGTATGCATCCAACTTCATCACTGGTGCAGCCAGGATTGATGGCAAAATCATGGAGACCCTTTGGGTGCCTTTGAACCTCATATTGCCATCGGCGAGAGGGATGTCCACCCCCCACCAAAAGGAGTGTTTGGACTTTCAAATGAATGACTGTAATTTTGTGAAGATGATATGCATGAGTGAGCAATATTATTTGACTGAGTTCACAAATTCCTTTGCCAAAAATTCAAGGAAGCTGTATAGGGAGTCCAAGACAGCCAATATGCATTTGACCGGTTGACCGAGACTGCTGACGATGACACCCTTGCCAAATGGGAAGCAGAGGCCGCTGCCACTCAGGATGACCAAATTCATAATTCCAGTGCCATGGACATATATGAAGTTCAATTGACCAAAGGTATTGGCAAACAGAACATCCATTTGCAATACGCTGATGTGCTTTGGCAAAGCACCAACAAGAAAACAGCAAGAGTTGCACCTGTTGAACTGGCAGGTGCAATGGCCTGCCGGCAAGATCCATCATGGTGCTGCAACATGGCTGGCCTCTGGGATCACACTCAAGGAGGCACAAGTAGCCCTCCTGATTGATGTGAACAAACTGGAAAAGTGGCTGACCAACACCCAGAAGCTGGCCATCGCTTGGCGTTGCCAAAAATGGCAAGACCAACTTGATGAATTTGTCAGGGTGGCAGGTACATTCCTTGGCGATGAATTTGACAGCTATGACCAGTTGGACGGCATGACTGTGATGTTGGATTCTGTGGGTTCATTATCTGATGATCCAGATCGGTCAAATGAAGAAAAATTTGATATGCCAGTCAAGTTCAATCCTGAGAATGTGGTTATTCCATTACCATCCAACATCAGCATCAAAAGGTGTGCCAAGTGGGGCATTGCCGACCTGGTGTTGCAAGAAATATCCTTAAGACAAGGCCAAGCAAATGATGTGTTGCATGCCATCCAGGTTAACTTGGCCAACAAGGCTGTTCTCTTTCACACCACAGTTCAGTCGGCAAAGTCACAAGCTTGGTTGACCAGGGCATGGGCTTGCATGCACTTGGTCAACAAGGTCCTTCACTTGAACATGCAGATCTACTCAAAATGCTGCAAGCAGCTTGTCCATCTTGGCACCGATGATTTATTGACCGAATATTGGCTGTTAGAGAAGGCTGACTTAAAGGCTACTATGGTGGTGGCAGACCTGAACACATGCAGTCAAAGAAATAGCATGCTGGCATGGTTTTGGTCCTTTGATGTACAGGGGGATTCCACAAGCAATGACTGGATGAATGAATGTGTGCACTTCGCTGACCTACCTATTCCTGTTCAGTGCTAATTTCTTCACGACAGTTTACTGTGTCCATTGACTTCGGGTGCTCGAACTGTGCGACTGTTGGGCAGAGGAACTCCTGCTGGTTGGTCAGGAAATGACATGGACAGTTGAATTCTTTATTCACAAATCCAAACAATGGGTTGGTTGATTGCAGGAGGCCAATGCAAATGACATGGTTGGGCACTGCTGCTATGCAGCATGCCAGGCTTGGATGTATCTCCGACTCTCACAGCATACACAAGACAGTTTTGAAAGAACAAAAAGGGTGGCAGTGGTGGCGGAGTGACAGAGGTCCATGCACATGCATTTGGACAATGGCAAGCCCCGCAGTGGATTAGTCATGAGTACAATGCCAATCCCTATAAAACTTGTGATTCCACTTCAGTCAAAACTTCAACTAGTCCCAGCTCCGTCCATCATGTCCAACTCCACAACACTTTTACATACAAACTCAATGACTTTACTGCATGGGATGCTGCCAACATCTTGGAGTATGCTACATCTCGATTTGCTGCGATCTGGCTTGTATGTGACTGGAGCCATGTGCCTTGGATGCCAGCTTTGTCTGGCACCTTCAATGGGAGGCAGATGTGAGTGCCTCTTCAGTCGTTTGGTTGGTTGGCCAGTCGGTATGCTATTGTAGTCAATGCCTCCATCAGTGTTTTGTTTTTCCTTATATCAACTTATGTCTGGTGATGAACATTCATCCAACCATGCCTGACCTCCTCTGCATTGTCATTGCCCACTTCACCTGCTTCCAAACTGGCACCATGAATGCCAAGGAACTGCACGATGAATTCTTCGCATGCTGCTCTCCCAATGACCAAGAACTATGGTCCAATCACCAGGTCATTTGTAACTATTCCCATTATTGGTGGAAGGATCACTTCAACAGGTTGGGGTTCAAGCTCCTGATCTTGACCATTCAGGAGGTCATGGAGATGACCCGAGAGCACTTTGAACAACTGGTCAGTCATTTCCTCTGCTCATCCTGGACTTCCACTGATGCTAATGTTTAGCCAATCAGAGCCATGCTCATGCCAGGTCCTGCTGTGACCGGTCAGGTGGACGGTGATGCCCTCTTCAATCAAATTGTGGTGGTGAGAGCCCATATCTGACACCTCAGTGAGGCAATGGCCTCTTTGCTGGAGCAGAAGACCCAGATTGCTGGAGCAGCCACTTCCACCATATCCCAACTTGAGGTGCCAATTGATGAGGTGGAGCAGGTGCTCATTAATTCTTGTAGGCGATTTGACACAGACCAGTGACTTTACATGCAGCCTTATCGCCAATATCGCCTAAAATACCGGCAATGTACATAGTATTATTAAATGTGTTTTGGTTCCTTTGTATATAAGCCATCAATGAATATTCCCGTTCCTCTGCCCCAATTATGACTCCAATTCCTACTGACTGGGCATTTCATACCACATGCATTGCTGCTGACTTCATTCACCAGCTCTTCGTTTGCCATGTCGGCGGCCGGCAACCATCAGTGTTGCCTCCATTGGCACTGGATGTGCCAACCATGCTCTCAGCAGTGTCAGCCTTATGGTTTCCCCCCTGCTGGTGGTTTCACCCTGGAGGTGTCAGCTATGCTGAAGGGGGATGGTGGTCCAAAGGTCATAATACATCAGGAAAATGTGGTAAGGCTATATAGCCACAGTTCAAAGCACCAGCACCAGTACCAGCACCAACAACATCAACACCAAGAGAAGGATAGAGAAGCAAGAAGAAGAGAAGAGAGGCAAAAACTCGAAAATTGTAAGAAAAATATGGAAGATAATCTAATGAGGGGGCAGTGGGGGGGGAAGGAAAGAATGGGAAAAGACTTGTTGGTTGACCGCATTTTTGCTTACATAAGCAGTGCCAAACAAAGCCACAACACAAGACTTGGTGAATTTTCGAGTTTTTGGTTAATAGGACTAGGATTATGACAGTAAGAAAAAGACAATGAAATTGACTGTTAGCATTAGGATTTTGAATACACATAAGGTGAATTTTCGCATTTTTGCTTACATAAATAAGGTGTACCTTAACACTTTTGAACCCTTCAATTCCAAGTATTTTCCTTATAACTCACTAAGATCTTGACCTATTGAAGTCATTAGACTATGGATAGACTTCCCTTGACAAGGACTACAACTTTGATTTAATCGAAAAAAGTTCCCATGGTCAAGTTGCTTTCTTGAACCCTTCAATTTCGAGTATTTTCCTTATAACTCACTAGGATCTTAACCTATTGAAGTCATAAGACTATGGATAGACTTCCCTAGACAAGGACTACAACTTTGGTTTTCATCGAAAAAAGTTCCCACGGTCTACTGGGGTCTATAGTTGTTGAAATGTTTTACTTCTAAATACACTTACCAAACTTTATGGTAATATATAGACTTTCATGATGTCTATACTGGTCTATAGTGCTGTGATAGCTTGCCATAGACTGTATAGAGCTGTGGTGTGCTATCGGGGCTATATAGAGGATGGTCCTCTATATAGAGATATAGTTTTTCCTGATGTATTGATGCAGCACTCGGCACTCCTGACCTCGGCAGCTCTGTGGGTGATGCACCCAGAGTTGTATTGGGCTTTGGTTACTACAAAGATGAAACTCGCTTGATGGGCTATGGAAAATGACCTCAATGGCATGTACAGTGGCTCAAAAAACTGTCCGCATGTTTTCACATTTTTCACTATCTATGATATTGTGTGAGAATGTACAAACACATCAAGGACATGCTGGTACCATATTGTAGTACTACTTCAGGGCTTCCAATTGAGCCCTATGGCGTGGGAATTGGTCGAGATATGGTGGAGATATGAGGCTTACAAAATGATGACTCATGCGGACAGTTTTTTGACTCAAGTATTTTACAGTGATAATCAGGTATTCTAGTACATTGTGTGACCTCCCTTGGCTTTAATTACTGCCTCTATCCTTCTAGGCATACTCTCAATCAATTTCTGGCAATATTCTGCTGTAATCCTTGCCCATTCCACTGCTACTCTCTCCCATAGCTCCTATACTCCTTTAGGGGGGGTTTCATAGGCTTGAAGCATCTTCTTGAGTATTCCCCAGAGATGTTCAATGACATTGACATCAGGGGACTGTGCTGGTCAGTCAAGAACATTGATATTATGTTCTTTAAACCATTGTCTGGCTCTCCTAGATGTGTGCTTGGGATCATTATCCTGTTGGAAAATGATGTCTTCTTCATCAATCCCTGAGTCAGCTATGCTAGGCAGCAAGTGGTCATTTAGAATGTCCACATACTGCTCAGTATCCATCCTCCCCTCAACTTCAGCGGGCATACCCACACCATTCCATCTCATACAGCCCCATACCATTAGAGAACCTCCTCCAAATCTGACAGCCTCACTAACCTCTCTGTCTGTTAGAAAATCCCTCTTCTTTTTCCATACATATACCTTCCCATCTGACCCAATCCTATTGATTTTGGTCTCATCTGAACATATAACATGCTTCCAGTCCTCTACAGTCCAGTTTTGATGGGCCAAGCCAAAGGTAGTCTTTTCAGCCTATGTTTAATAGAGATAAGAGGCATTTCTTCTTTGTTACTGCCTTGAGATGAGCTGCCTTGAGAACATTCCTCACAGTTTGTGAAGAGACAGTGGTGGTGATGGTGGAATTGGTATAATGGGTGGCTTGGAGGGCATTATTAGCCTTTCCTGTAGTGATATGTTGGATGATAGCCCCCTTATTAGCAGAGGTGGACGTCCTCCACAAGAGTTTTCCTTGTCCAGGTGGCTTTCTTTGATACACTTGGCTGCAGTAGACTTGCATACTTCAGTTCTAGAGGAAATTTGATGAGCAGAGAGGCCAGCATAGGACAAAGAGAAGATATTATCCCTTTGAGTAGAGGAGACGGCTTTCATGGTAATTATGACCATGACACATGAGACATTCTGGTTTATATAGTTAGATATAGTTTTAAGAGTATGCCTAGAAGGATAGAGGTAGTAATTAAAGCCAAGGGAGGTCACACAATGTACTAGAATACCTGATTATCACTGTAAAACACTTGAGTCAAAAAACTGTCCGCATGAGTCATCATTTTGTAAGCCTCATATCTCCACCATATCTCGACCAATTCCCACGCCATAGGGCTCAATTGGAAGCCCTGAAGTAGTACTACAATATGGTACCAGCATGTCCTTGATGTGTTTGTATATTCTCACACAATATTATAGATAGTGAAAAATGTGAAAACATGTGGACAGTTTTTTGAGCCACTGTATATCAGATTACATTATGGTTGCATTCAACCTTTTGGATTGATTAGTGATAAGGTTGTTAATTAATTCCCGCTGTGTCACCAATCAACCAAAAGTGAAGATGAAAGTCATGGGCTGAGCTGAGATGATTGACATTGTATGCCATGTGCTGACTGATGTGCATGGGAAACATGTTCCGCATCAGCCCACCTGATAGAATCAAACACTGCTCGTTTGTGGGCCCACCCGACATCATCCATCCCATCGGCCTACCAATATGCACTGGAAATGCATTCTGCATGGGCCCACCTGATGCAATACAGACCATTGGCTGGCCAATATGTACAGGCAACACTTTCTATGGGCCCACACGATGACTTCACAGCAAGCATTGGCCGACCAATATGCACAGGCAGGGCATTCTACATCAGCCCAGTGGATAACATCAGGAATTCATCCCCATGGGCCCACACAATAGCTTCACACCCATCACTGGCTGACTGATATACACAGGCAATGCATTCCATATTGGCCTTCTGGATAGGATTGGCCTTTTCTCCCTCATCAGCCCACCTGACACCACACATGCCATCGGCTGGTTGATGTGCACATGGAACACATAGTATGGACCCACCTAATAGAATCAAATGTTCTTTCCCGTGGGCCCACATGATAGCTTCACATTTGCTGTTGGCCAACCGATACACACCATCATATACCTGATCTGACCACTCCAACGACATTGATATCTGTTCCACCCGACCTTATACTCCCCCCACTTCCCTATCACCTCCACTCTGCCTGCCCTCCGCTTAATCCAGTCAGCTCCCATATCTGCTCCTGCGCCCCTGCTTGACTGCCTCATCGGTTACCCTCTACATTGTCTCCACTCCACTGGAACCTCTTTCCCAATTTAGGTATATACTTTCCCCATTGATACATAGAACTTATTTCCCAGATCATTGGTACTTCCCATAACCGCTCGACTAACTGATCCGACGCATACATATTGATATCCGCTCCAACTTATGTTTTTCACCAGTGTTCACTTACAAATTGTATACTCGGTACATAGCCTCATACCAAGGACTACTAGTCACTGCCTCCTACATAGAAGTATATAAAAACATACCATGTATTCAGCTACTCCTCAGTCTTAATATTACTCGTCTTCCCAGTCTCCACTAGTGGGAATACTTCATAGGGCTTTGCTCTCTCTGGACACAAAATTACCTTGCCATCACCTCCAATACTCTGCTCCAACTTAGAGCAGTGCTCTAGAATATTCATCCTTACTTCTCCAACTGATCCAATCAATCCTCCTATCTCCCTCCACCCCTAAAACACTTTCTCTGCCTCACCTGCTCTGCTTCTAGTTGGACCACCACTAGAAGCTGTTACCTCCCGACCCATAAAGTGGACCAAAGTGGTCTGCCCATCCTATCGTTGGACACTGTCGGTTCCACTCCAAATTTGGGGCATGTACTCAGCTAAGGGCGCAGCACAAGAGTTGAAGCCAAGCCCCGACCCCTCCACTTCTCTGTATGAGCACGGTTCCTAACACACATGGGCAAAGTATTCAACATGGGCCCACCTGGTACAATACAGACCATCGGCCAGCCAATAGCTAAAAACAACACATTACAGGGGCCCACCTGATAGCATTGGGTATCCCTTCTCATGGGCCCACACGGTGGCTTCACACCCAGCATTGGCCGACTGATATGCACATATTTGACATGGGCTGACCAATAAGCACAGGAAATGTATTACATGTGGGCCAACTGATACACACAGGCAATGCATTCCACATGGGCCGACTGATACACAGGCAACATATTCCACATGGGCCGACCAATACGCACAGGCAACATATTCCACATGGGCCAACTGATAAGCACAGGAAACATATTCCATACCGGCTGACCAATACACACAGGCAACCAATTCCACATGGGCCAACCAATATGCACAGGCAACCTATTCCACATGGGCTGACTGATACACACAGGAAATGTATTCCATGCTGGCCAACTGATACACACAGACAACCTATTCCACATGGGCCCACCTGATCTAATACAGACCATCAGCTGGTCGATGGCCACAGCCAACAAGCTCCATGGGCCTGCCTGATAGCATCAGGAATTTCTCCCCATGGGCCCACATGATGGCTTCACACCCATCATTGGCCTACCAATATACACAGAGGATGCATGCTTTATGGGCCTACCTGATAAAGTCAACCATTGCTCCTTCATGGGCCCACCCGATACCACACATACAATCAGCCAACCAATACACACAGGCACTATGTTCTACACAGGCCCAGCTGACAGCATCAGAGACTCCTCCACCACCATTTGCCCACCAATATATAGGCAAATGCATGGGTCAGGGTAACCCACATGGGTTCAGGGTACAGGTATCCCTGGGGTATGGGTACCGGTCTAGTGCTGGTGTACCTGTACCCCTACCCATACCCTTGGCATGGGTTTTGATGAAAATAGGTGCTGCGAGAAATAAAATAATGTTATACATGGTTGGACAAAGTATCTACAAAGTACACAAGAGTTTCCATGCTCATCTCTGTTGGTCTGCACTTGGCACTGGTTGTCTGCTGTGCTTGTTCACTTGTCTTCATTTGTCTCACCTGCTGACACTCATTTGCTGGTGTATAAGTGTGCATTCAATGATCTATGTTATTTGTTTGTTCATGTCATTTGTATGTTCATTTGTGTCGTTCGTTTGTCATTCGTCTCTTTGTGTCATTTATTTGTTTGCATTGTTTGTTTGTTTGCATCATTTGTTTGTTTACATTGTTTGTGCATCTTCATGTTTGTCTGAGCATGTTACCACTTGTTCCCAGCACCATAGGTACTCTATGTATGTATGTACATTCATGCACTCATCCTGCTCATTTTTGCATGTTTGTGTACATTGGCACATGTCTGTGCCCACACCTGCTTATTCCTGCATGCTTGGGCACGTCTGCACCTGACTTTGTTTGTCTGCAACTGGGTGCCACTCGTTTCTGCATGTTTGCACCTGTCTGCACCTGCCCCTGTGCATTTTTGCTTGGCACCACTTGTTTTTGCTTGCTTGCATTGGTACAGGTGCGTTTTTTCACTCATGTATGTATCTACATTTTCTACTAATTATATATCATTTGTAGGTGTTACCCACATCAGTAAAACCACCAATTCCTTTTCCGGTCTTATGTTCCTTAATGTGCCTTCAAATTTCATTGTGACAAGTCTAGACCAGCTTACTCTTTGCTTTTTGTACTTTGTTTCCTTACTACTGAAAGCAAATAAAGGTGAAAAAGTGAAAATTGAGTGAAAACCAAATTAAGAATGATAAGTAGTACAATGTAAATATAATCAAAAGTTTTGAACACACCAAATTAAAAATGCTGATTCTCCTGTTGCATTGGGGACAATTTGCGGGAGGAATTTGCAACAGATCGCGGGGGCCGGTCATATTGAGTTGAGCAAAAACAAAGCAGCACAACATGTTTGGGAGTTGGGGAATTGACAACTCCAATGCTAATGCAAAGACTGTGCAGGCATGGTTGCATTCTAGTGCACAGTGTGATATTAGTTAGTGAAACTAAACAAGGGTTATAATGAGAGAACTTACGAGGTGTCTTTGCCAATTCCACATGTGCTTGGATAACAGTCGGGCCAGTGTCTATTTCGACATCCCCGACATCCCCGTCTTCCTGCACATTCACCTCAGGCTCAGTGTCCTCTTGCAAGGGATTTCCAGGCTGGTCATTTGCAATTCAGATCAGTTCTGTTGTAGAGTTAGTTGTAGCACATCAAATGTAGTACTATTTTCAGACTTACCAAGTGCATTGATAGCTGCTGAAAGGCATGTTCCATCAAGCATCCCGCAGTTCATAAAGTCAGTTGGAATGACTACAATCCTAATACTATGTATGTAGTATTAGTATGGTAGTGCTAGTAGTAGTGGTGTGGCCTAAGGTACTGTACATTGGACTTAGTGTAAATCTTGCGAGTGTGAGAGTCACATGACTTTGGTTCAAGGAACACGTCACACTGTCATATACCTGATCCAACCGCTCCAATATTAATATCCGCTCCACTTTCCAACCACCTCCGCTCCAACCATCCTCCGCTCCGTCCAATCACAGTCCACATTCCACTCCTACGCTTCCGCTCGACCGCCCGACCGGTCCCCTTCTATAACGTCTCCATTCAACTGGAACCTCTTTCCCCTTTTAGATATATACTTTCCCCTTCAGTACATAGACCCTTACTTCCGGATCACCAGTAATTCCTCTTACCGCTTGATCACTGATCCGACACGTACATATTGATATCTGCTCCAACTTATGTCTTCGCCTGTGTAAGTACTTACAAATTATATCCTTGGTACATAGCTTTACAACATAGTTATCCTGATCACTGCCTCATACATAGAAGTATATAACATATCATGTACTTAGATATTTTCCTCAGTCTTAATATTACTTGTCTTCTTGCAGTTTCTACTTGTGAGAATTCTCAGTAGGACCTTGCCTCCTCTGGATACAAGTTTCATCTTGTTTTCACCTCCGACCCTCTGACCATCCACTCCGACTTAGAGCTGTGCTCTAAGTCTTCTCCTTACTTCTCCACCCCCCCCTATCAAGTATTCCCCCTGCTCCTATCCACCCTCTGCACTATCCTCTGCCTTCTCCGCTCCGCTCCTAGTTGGCCCGCCGCTAGTAGCATTTACCTCCCGACCCTCAAAGCGGACCTAAGCAGTCTACTTGTCCTACCATCGGACCACATCGGACCCGCTCCAAATTCGGGGCACATACTCGACTGAGGGCACAGCGCAAGAGCTGAAGCCAAGCCCCGACCCCTCCGCTTCTTGAGCCGGCACAGTACCTAACACACATGTTCTTTAGTTCTTTTCTTCATGTGCTGATGTCTAACACCATACCCCATCTGTTAAGACTGTGCTCAGGAGTAAGACAGAGTCTGAGGGGCTTGGCTTCAGCTCGTGTGCTGCATCCCTTACCCGAGTACATGCCTCTAATTTCGGGTTGTAGTCTGACTCAAGTTTCTACAAGCTCCGACAGGACATTGGAGTGGAGGTCCTCCAAAGGAGGGCCGACAGACTACTGGATGAGCATGGGAACGTTGGGCGGAGATTGGTCCGCCCTACAGGGGAGAGTTGGAGGGCTACTGCAGTCGGAGCTAACAGCAGGAACAGAGCGGAGGACACTGCTCAGACAAAGTCTGAAGCAGAATGGAAACGCACAGGACAGAGGTACAAGAGTATTAGCCATAAGTCCGATGCATGGGAAAGGTGGTGGAGGCACGAGAAGTCGGACAAGCGGAGAAGGTGGCCAACCTAGGGAGTCGATTCCCTAGGCCAGCAAACAGGAGTTGTCAAGGGGTTTGCCCAAGAACAGGGACAAGAGAGCAGGGCTTAGAAAAGGTAATATTCAGACTAAAGATCTACAGACAGATGTACATAAGTTTATATACTCTAAGTAAGTAGCATAGCATAGCAGAAGGCTATGTGCTGAGTGTACAGGATTACAAGAAAGATGACTGAGACACACGAGGAAGAGGCTTGGAGAATAGTATGTACGTGACAGATCAATAATCACTCAGGTATAGGAATTACTGGTGGTCTGAAAGGAGGAACTATGATTCTAAACGGAAATAGGACCAGTTGAGTGGTTCCTAATCTAGGAGTGGACCAGTGAGGTGGTCGGGTGGACTAATAGTTGGGTAGGGTAACACGAGCGGAACTGAAGGAACCGAGTGGGTTGGAAAAGCAGAGATGGTGGAGGGAGTAGGAGTAGGATCGGGTGGACCGATAGGGCGGAGGAGCGGAGCTCCAGATAGGGTCGGATGGAAGGGGTATAGTGTTGGAGGAAATAGGGGTAGCATCGGGAGACACAGGTGGTATTGGAGGTGCTCGGATCCGGTATATGACACCATCTTTCAGTTGCTGCCAGTCTCACTAAAAAAAACTTTGAACCACTATTATGCTGTCACTCCTCCAGCTCGCTGCACTCATTTTCTAGTGATCACTGGTAAGCACGTCAAAACTTGCAGCTCATCTTCAGCTTCTGGTTCTGGCTCTGGTGTCCTTGATGACACTTTCGATTTTGACCAGACCCTTAAAGACTTAATCAGATGGTGAATTCTACAACAATAAATTGGTTGTCTTCCATTAATATATTTGTAGTTGTGGCAAGAAGTCCATCAAGGGCCACGAGCTTGGTGTCATGTTTCAAGGCCTCTGTGTCGTAGGCATCGGTGCACATGCCTCTTTGCAGCCTACTATGGGTTCTTTGTTTAATACTGTAGCCTTTTTGAGAATTTGGTCTTTGTCATACCTGAAACACTCTTGTCCAGCAATTTGCGGCATTTCAGGGCGAGAAGAAGTGTGTTTCAATTGCAGAGGCACTTTCTTGCCATGCTCTAATTGGCGCGTGGGACAAGTGAGTTTTGGTTTGCTCCAGGCCCATTGTGGTGCTGACTATCATATTCTTCTAGCCCCATGTGTGGTCTCGACATGAGTTTGTTCAGGCGCTACATATCGGAAGTTTAGAACTGATATAGCTCCGGCATGGTGATATCAAGAGGAGGCCCTGAGCTTGATTTGAGCTGCACGGCATGATTGCCGAGATGTATGAGTTCCTTCCCTTCATACTGTCTACTACTACTTTTGTTAACATTGGTGGTTTTGGCCCAGCCTGGATTTTTTTTCAGGCCAAAGCCACAGCTTTTGGGCCAAGCCAGGCTAGAACATCACTACTGGTGTTGTCGCATTTTGTGCTATGGTGGTATGTCTATTTTCTTGTTAGTAATGGTCCCACTCAATTGATTTGCATAGCTCGAGCGCGCCCTCACATTAATTTCAGTGTATGCGAAAAGTAAACTAAGTCAGAAATAAGGGAGAATTCAGATGATGAGTAGCCTTTTCTTTCCTTAGTGGGCCCCTTACAGCAATTTGCAAAATGGTTGGCAGTACCAGACACAAGAAAAGACTTGAAATTAATAAAATACTTTGCACCAAATATGGTAATCATGATTCTCCTGAGTCCTGAGAGGTGCGGCTCAGCAGTGCGTCACTTCTTCTGTTAACCTTCACCAGTTCCCAATTCTCTGAGTTGCTCAAACATGCCATTCTGCAAGATCAGTTGTGACATGAAACTTGCTGCTATCAACCTCTATGAGTGCCAGCTTTTGTCTCTTGAGCAGATTCTAGCTTGTGTGGGCTTCTCTGAAAGAACTTTCTGGCACATTTGCAAATTATGGAGAGAGACTGGCAATGTTATTCAGCACAACTACAGCATTTCTGGTCGCCCATGAACTTTACATTTCAACGATGTTCACTACCTCCTTCAACTTGTGCATCATAGACCTGACTGGTTCTTGGACAAGCTACTTGACCTACTTGATAACAACTGGCTTATTGCTCTTCATTTCACTACAATCTACCGTGAACTTTCCCAAGCAGGAATTTCTTGCAAGAAGCTGAAGAAGATTGCAAAAGAGCAAAACAAGAATCAATGGTCAGACTTCATCAGATGGATGGCACAGTATGACCCGGAAGAACTTAAATTCTTGAATGAGAGACATCCAATGATGAGAGGACAACTTCAAGGAGGTTCAGGAGATTGAAGAAGGGAGAAAGAGCAGCAAAGAATGGAGTCTTTGTGCAAGGGCACCGCTTTTCTGCATTGGGCCTGCTCGCCATCGACAGAATGATGGCATGTTCAGTAATTGAAGGTTTGTTCACCATGGAGAAGTTCAAGGCCTTCCTTCAGGAAGATGTTGTAAGTGCTATTCAGCCTCTGACTCAGAAGCATGAACTCATCTGTTTGACCAGCTACCACTATGCTCTCCCTACCCTGGGAAGCTTAGTGTGCTTGTCATGGACAATGCAACATGCCACCATGGTTATGGCATTGCAGATCTCGTATATGAAGCGGGTGAGTTCACATGTGTCACATAATAGGCTCCATTGACACACAACATGGTTTTGAGGTGTATGGCTTGAATATCTTCCCCCGTACTTGCCTGATTTGAATCTGATTGAGGAAGCATTCTCCAAGATCAAGGCTTTCATTCATTGCAACCAGGATTACTTCTCAACAGAATTGGATGGGCTTATCTACAATATGTACATTGCAATGGATCAGATAACAGATTCAGATGTGCTTGGGTATGTTATCCATGCAGGGTACTTCTAGCACAATTCCTCTTGATTCAATACAATGATGTAGACTAGCAAAAGAGCACAAAGCAGATTACATAACAAAAAACATTCACTTGCACCAACACTTCATGGCTGCACACATCGCAGCAATCTCTCCCAGCTTGAACTCCATTTCCTTCAGCTGAGAGATGAGAATGTAACAGATAGTCTCTGTGCCTGTATACCTGTTCTGGTGTAGCTTCGTGCGGATATTGTCGCTGAGAGTATAATTGCTACAGAACTTGTTGAGGGAAAGTGTTAGTCCATGCAGCACGTCATAGGGAATCAGAGAGTCTTGTGATCGATCACCTTCAGTGCATGATCCAGCAGGTGCAGGTTGAGGTATGTCATTGTTCGGAACTGCAGGAGGGCAAAACACGGTGAGAAGCTCTGGCGGGATGTTGAAATTGATGACCGGACCATAAGGCTGATTTGTAGGCTGTGTGCATTCAGCAAGGTGACACTGAAGAAGAGAGACAGTGCCCTTCTGCCCTGGAAATGCATTGAACTTGGTGTGGTTCAGGGGAGTCTCAAGGTTTGCTTGTGCTTCATCTTTGTTCTGAGTGTGAAGTAAGCAAGTTATCATCTTGCAACAGTCTACAAGAACACCCATGCAGCTGCCCATACAGAAAGATGCTCATGTCCAAGTGGGAAGTGTTCAGGATGCTCGGCATGGATGAAACAGAACTCACTCATACATCCAGGCTTCAAACACATCCACTGATCACAAAGTTGTTGAATCTTTGTGTTGATCTTGATATTCAAGTTTGTCTCTAGTACCTTGGCTTTTTCTTTTGCTGACTGTAGGTGAATCACTGCATGAGAACATTGGCAAGAAGGCAAAAAATATTTATGGTCTTCTTCATCTTCTTTTTTGGCCTCCTGTCAGCATTGCTCTCATTCTCAGAACCTACATCATCCTCTCCAGAGCTTGTGTCTGTATCTCTGTTGTGATGGTTCTCCTTTCCTCATTTTTTCTTCTGCGACACTTCTCAGCCAAGTATACTATGCGCATATATCCAGGAAAGATAACTGACCTTGTTCATGTGAACCTTGATGGTGATATTTTCCTGCAGCTCTTTGTGTTTTGTGGTGTGCTGAAGCAAAATTTTGTAATCACTGTCCAAAGCAAGAGCCAAAGGAGATGGCTGGATCCATGGTACAGTCCAGTTGATGTTGTAGTCGTCATATAAGATCTTGCTGGGGTTGAGTTTTGCTGAGATCTGAGCAAGTAACTGTGCCTTCAAAGTATCAAACAGCAAGTCAGCCGTTTGCTGCAAGAATGAATTGAGTGATTTCCTTTGTTTTTCTGCTTTGTGAAACTCCGCCTCTGAGAAAATCGAGAGGTAATATGTCACTTGTGCAGGAGCGGGTGGGGCAGGTACATCTAAGCAATAATCAGCAGAGAGACATCAAAGATCATGTCACAACAAGACTCAAGTGTATAGGAAAGAAAGAAACTGTTGTCTGTCAAACACCAAGACTTCAAATTCAAATCTGAAGTTGAAGGGGAAAATGATGTTATGTACGCACCTGTCTCCTCTGTGGGTTTCTTCTTCCTCAGATGACCTGGGGTCTTGCGCTTTGCCATGCCAGTTTCACCAGAATTTATTGTACTTGCTGCTGGTTGTCCTCCACGTTCCATTTGCCAAGTGAGAGTCATACATTCCGCATCTTGAGCTTGAGTGTTCATGTTTGCTTTCCAGCTCATGTTATGATCACTTGTGCTAGTGTCAGACAGAGCACCAGGATCAAAAATTGAGTCATATGTTTGAGGTGCCATGGATGGTGAAGCCAGTGAAGGTTAACAGAAGAAGTTACACGCCACTGAGCCATGCCTCTCAGGACTCAGGAGAATCATAATAACCATATTTGGTGCGAAGTATTTTATTAATTTCAAGTCTTTTCTCACGTCTGGTACTGCCAACCATTTTGCAAATTGCTGTAATTGCTTTCATGTCGTGCTTTTCTGAATGGACAATTGCCCTTTTTTTGCTTTATTTGTGATGCGAAAGTAAACTAAGTCAGAAATAAGTGAGAATTCAGAGGATGGGTGGCCTTTTTCAACTGGCCATCTACTTATTTTCACCCTTGCTTATGTAGGCTTATTTCTACTTGTTGCATGAGAAAAGTTAAATATAAGTAAGGTAAGGAACTGGGTGTTTTACTGATGCACAGGTAAACCCCATATGGGTGTGGGTATGGGTGCAGGTATTGGCTCTGGTACCTGGGGGTTTACCTGTGCTATTGCCTACCGATATACTGAACCCGTGGGGCCATACAATGTTCATGGCCACCAGCCAACATGTTAATATCGACCATCATTAATTATGGGCCCAGCTGTTAAAATCATCTCTCAGTAAGCCTGCCAGCCACACATTTGTTGGATGTTCAACATCAACCTCGTATTCCTTTTCTTGATTGCCATCATGGGCTCTATAGTGTAGCTTATAATTTAGTTGTATTGCATTGTTTGTACCTCAGCAGTTCTTTCACCAATGCTGAGGTACAGTTCACGTTCATTCTGCACACTGTCTCTCACTTACATTGTTTCATCTCTAGACCTGTCTCTTAGGTACTATTAATGTTATAGCGGTTCTTTCACCAACACTGAGACCTGTCTCTTAGTTTCTACTTTCTACAGGTTATGAGCCCTGGCTCAAGCTGAGCCAGAAACCAAAACTTTGAACAGAAATTCACTCAGTTAGTGCCTGCCGCTCACTTATCTCATTTCCCTCCACGACAGTATCGTCATGGGGAAACACGATCATATTCCCGAGCTGCTTGGAATGGAAAATTATACTAGTTGGGCTACCAAGATGCAGTACGCTCTTGTGTGCGAAGATCACTGGTGTCACATCAACATGAAATCTGAACCAGGGGATCTCCTTGGTCTTCCTTCATATACACCTTTACCAGTTGATAAAGCTAAACCCACGGACGCTGAAACAGCGCTAATGCATGAATGGTTGCTCAAAGACATGAAGGCCAAGGAACTCATTACTCGGTGACTGAGCTTGTCCATCGCATCACTCATTCCTCGTTCTCACACCATCTCAGCACGTAAAGCTTGGTAGGTCTTACAGGACCATTTCAACTGGACCAACATGAGCACACAGTATCTTCTCAGACAACAGGTAAAAGCGCTGCACATGAAGGACTCTGCTGACGCCACCAATTACATTGTGCAACATGCAGTTTTCTGTGAGCATTTAATCAATGCTGGTGCACCTTGGGGCGAAACTGACGCCATTTACCATATGTTAATGGGGCTCCCTCAAACCACAATCTGGCAGCAGTTCAAATCTCTTCTTGAACAATGTATGCATGACGAGTCCATGACCACCACATCTGCATCTGTACCTACCTTTACCTTCGAGAGTTGCATATCCCGCATCACATCTGAGGCTGCACACCATGTCATGACCCAGCATGCGCATTCCTCACGTCCAGGCTCAGAGTATGCCAATGCCGCCACCACTCCCACCGTGAGCAGCACCAATTCCATCACCAGTCTGCGCATGCACAAGCACAACCCCCAGGGGGTGTTCTGCACCACGCCTGGCTGCAGCAAGGGTGATTATGACCATGCTCACTGCTATGGGAAGGGCAGTGGAATGGAAGGTCAGGCTCCATGGATGAAGAATAAGAAGAAGGACAAGGAGTCTGCGGTTGCTGCAGCTACTACCACAGCACCTGCTCCTACTCCTGCTCTTACTCCTACACTTCCCATCACAGCGGCTGTCACCAGGCTCAGCAGTCTTATGGATGATATGTCCTTTGCTTCCATTACAGAGATCCTGGACAATGTGTCCTGCACCGTCGACCTCCCGTTCTCCACCATTCTAGACTCTGGCACTACCATTACCCTCATCAAGGACAAGCGATTTTTCCACACTTACTCTGATGCAGACCCCATTCCAGTGCGCACCACTAATCACAGCATCTTGCAAACCACTGGTCGCGGTGCCTGCATTACATGGCTCACCATCGGTGGGAAGCGACTTCACATACAGTTATCCAACTGCCTTCATGTACTGGGTGCCTTACTCAATCTCCTATCCATCAGTTGCATGAACTCGAAGGGGTGGGATGTCAACTTCAGATCCAACATGACTTGCGAACTTACCTACAAAGGCACTCCCCTTGGTGCAATACCAGCCACTGGGAAGCTCTATGCTGCAGACATGGATTTCATTCCAGCCTCTGTGCCGTCATCTCCATCGTCACATCACCTTGAAGTGTCGGCATTCACTCACATTCCTCTCTCATTGGACCTTTGGCATACTTGCATTGGGCATATCAGAAAGGAGGCTGTGTTGTGTCTTGCTCGTGTTGCCAAGGGCATCACCATTGATTCTACTGCACCTCTCTCTCATTGCGAGTCCTGCATCATGGCCAAGCACCCTCATCAACCCTTTCATCTGTCTGAGACTGAACGCACGTCCGGTTTCCTCAATCTAATTCACTCTGATCTCTGTGGTCCCATTCCCACACTCACTCCCCACAACAAGTGCTACTTCATCGTCTTTCTAGATGACCATACACATGCGCTTGATCTCCAACTTCTTGCCTCGAAAGATCAGTCTCTGGATGCCTGGCACGTACTGCGCACCCACTGGGAAAACTTGTCCGGGCAGCGTGTAAAGATTTTTCATTCCGATAATGGCAGGGAATTTATCAATGATGCCTTTACAGCGAACCTCGAGCAAACTGGTGTCCAGCATCAATGCTCTGCTCCCCAGGCTCATCAGCAGAATGGGAAAGCAGAGAGGGTGATGCATACGATTGAAGGTCATATGTATGTGATGCTGGACTTTTCCCATTTGCCAGGTTCCTTGTGGGGTGAGGCGGCTCTCACCACATGCTATCTATTTAATCAGACAGAATTGCATGCGCTACCTGCAGGGAAGACCCCATGTGAGATGCTGCACAGCACTCAACTGAATCTGGGCCACCTACGTGTTTTCAGTGCTCGTTGCTTCACACGCATCCCGACAGAGCTACAGTGGAAACTTGGACCTCACTCTCAAGAAGCCACCTTCATGGGATACCCCCCAGGCATAAAAGCCTGGAGATGTTGCGACATCGTCACTGGAGCTTTCTTCAACTCACACGATGTCATCTTTGACGAAGGATTGTCCAACCGCCCCTTCCCTGACAGCAACAATGAAGACAATGATGCCATACTCCCGTCAACACCTCCTACCATCATCACCCCACCTCAACCTCCTCATGCTGACATCATTCGTCGTTCAGGTCACATCCCAATCTCAACTGAGAAGGGCCAACTCTTTAAGGGTTGCATTGCCACCAACAAAGCACATCTTGCTCAACAACGCGAGGTTCATATTGCACGTCTCATGGGCATTCCGCCACCTTCCTCAGATGCTCTTGTACCTGTCCCACCAATTGTCGATGTTCCTGCTCACATGCCTGACCGTCCACCTCCTGCAGTCATCAACCCTGATGATGACGAGATTGGCTTCCCCAAGGTCATCACTAACCTCATTGTCACGGAAATGGCTTGTCTGTCCATCTGCAGTGACACACGCCGGAACCCTCCACCCCCTGGTTACGATCTTAAGGTGCCCCCCGCAACCTATGACGAGGCGCTGCATCATCCAGATCACAACCACTGGTTAGCCGCAATGCACAAAGAGATGAACCTGATGTCAGAAATGAAGGTATATGAACTTGTACCACTGCCTGATGACCGTCATGCCATTGGGTGCCATTGGGTGCTGGAATTCAAGGAGGATCTTAAGGGCAGACCTGTGTTCAAGGCGAGACTGGTAGCCCAGGGCTTTTCCCAGATTCCGGGGGTCAACTTCAGATGCACCTTTGCCCTGATGGCCAAATCTACCTCTATCCGCATCCTTTCTGCTTATGCTGCAGCCAATGATTGGGAACTTGACTGCTTTGACGTGAAATGTGCCTTCTTATGGGGAAAACTCCAGGAAGACATCTATATGCGTCAACCCCCAGGCTTCAAGCGCGCTGGTCCCGATGGCCTCCGCTTAGTCACCCATCTCCTTTCTTCTATCTATGGTCTCAAGCAGGCTGCATATGATTGGTATGAACTCCTCTGCAAAGTCCTCTCTCGTCTCGGGTTCTTACGCTGCAATGCTGACTACACTGTTTTCATTTTTGATCATGTCAATGGCAAGGGGGTGAGAATAATCTGCATCATCGCATTGCACATCGACAATGGACTCGCAGGATCAAACAATCACACCTTCCTCGACCAAACAAAAGTGCAAATCACTGAACATTTCGGTATCACTGACCTTGAACCTGTCATGAAATATCTTGGCATTCAATTCATCTGTGATCGTCAGACTCGCGAACTATGGATGCACCAGGAGGACTACATCGGCTATCTGCTGGTGGAGCATGGCATGTCAGATTGCAACCTAGTAGCACTGCCTATGGACCCCACCTTTCCTTTTGGCCGTCTGACTGACGTTTTCCCTCACATCAATGACCTTCAGACCAAATATCGCAAACTCATTGGGGAACTCCTCTACCTTGCCATGTATACTCGCCCTGATATCGCCCTTACCATCATGCAACTGGCACAGTACAACGTCTCCACCAAACCTAAACACTATACAGCTGCCAAACACATCCTTTGTTATCTCGCTGGTATAAGAACCCTTCGCACACATTACGGGGGTGTAGGAATCAACCCAAGTCTACACGGGTTCTCCGACTCTGACTGGGCCTCATGTCCTGAGGATCACATATCAATCTCGGGATATGTCTGGTTTTTCAATGGTG